GGTCGTGCGGCCCCCCCGAGCCGTAGAGCGGCTGCGTATGCTGGAGGGGCAGCTGATCCTGGTTTGGTGCTGCATGCAGCTGCTGCTGCTGCTGCTGCTGCTGCTGCTGCATACCAAAAGAAAGGCGAATTCGAAGGGGCTTCAGCCCGTGAGGCCTCTGCGCATTTCCCTCGCCAATTTGCTGCGGAAGCGAAGATGGTGCGGAGCCTGTTTGATGGTGCATCAGCTGCTGCTGCTGCTGCAGCATCTGCAGCTGCTGCTGCTGCTGCATCATCTGCTGCTGCTGCTGCAGTTCTGTGGGGTGCATTGAACCCTCTCTTGCCTTCTTTTTTGGCTTGGAGGATTTCACTTTCTTCTCGCGTCGCTGCGGGCGCTGATCGACGCCCTCACTGCCAGCTGCAGCAGCAAAAGGCTGCTGCTGCAGCTGCTGCAACTGCTGCAGCTGCTGCTGCTGCTGGAGCTGCTGCTGCTGCAGCAACGATCCCTCGAAAGTAGCAGCATCGCTCCCCTCATAAACACCAACGGGCGCATGCAGTGGCGCGGCTTGCAAACGGCTGCCTACAGCTGCAGCAGCATACGGCTGGTGAGCAGCAGCAGCAGCAGCAGCAGCCTCGGCCTCTCGCGCTGCGGCCCTACGCTGCCTTTTGGTTTGCGGTTGCAGCAGCAGCTGCTGCTGCTGCTGCAGTTCCTGCTGCTGCTGCGATGCTCTCTTTGTATGAGGAAGAGGCAATTCAATGCCATCAGGGATATACCCCAAGTAGCTCGGCATGTACGGCTGCTTCTTGCTGCTTCGCGAGCCTGCTGCTGCTGCTGTTGGTGCTGCTGTTTCTGGTGCAGCTGCAGCAGCAGCAGCAGCAGAAGGCCTTGAAGGGAGGCGCATCAGAGCCTTCCTAGGTGCAGAAGAAGCATCAAATGCTGCGGATGCTGCGGGTGCTCCTGTTGTATGCAGCAGCATTTGCTGCTGTTGGTGCAGCGGCTGTTGGAAGTGTTGCTGCTGCTGCCCAGCAGCAGCAACAACAGCAGGAGAAGCAGGAACAGGAGCAGCAGGAGCAGCAGAAAAGAGCCTGTTAGCAGAGAGAGGGTGTTGTTTGCTGCGTATCGAGCATGAATAAGAAGAAGCAGCGCTGCGGCTGTTTGAAGCAGCGCTGCTTGTAGAGACAGCAGAGCCGTCGTCTTCTTCACCTTCTCCCTCCATCAACTCCACGCCTAAGCTCTCCCCCTCTAACCCCACACCTTCCCCTGCAACACAGCAGCAGCAGCAGCAGCAGCAGCAGCAGCAGCAGCAAGAAAGACAATGCACAAGCGCAGCAGTTCCCTCGTCGGCAGTCTAATAATAAATGCACACGTTATATCTAACAGCAGCTACAAGAACGGAAAGCAACAGCAGCTACAGCAATAGCAGCAGCAATAACACCAGCAACAGCAGCAGCAATAACAGCAGCAACAGCAGCAGCAATAGCAGCTGTGCTGCTGCTCCTAATAACACAGCTACAACTACTCTTAGTACCACCAATACTGCTGCTGCTGCTCCTGTTGCTGCTGCTGCTGCTATTGCTTGTGCTGCTGCTTGTTCTGCTGCACCATCTACTACTACTGCTACTGCTGCAGCTGCAGCTTGTATTATTAGTACTATTATCTTTATTTATTATTATTAGCATTGCTGCTGCTGCTGCTGCTGCTGCACACCTGTTTGGGGTGCAGTGGGCGTTGGGTCCCAGCAGCTTTTAAATGCAGCGAAGAATTTCTGAATTCTCTCGCCTTGAGCTGCGCTGTGCATGCAGTGGAAGTAAATGCACGCCTTCACTCGGCTCCTCATCAGCACAAAACCCATACACTCCAACGCCTGAAGCAGCAGCAGCAACAGCAACAGCAGCACAACAATAAAAGCAGCAAAAGCAGCACACGCCCAAGCAAAAGCACTAGTAGTTGCAGCTAAAACGAAGAAAAAAACAGAAAATGAACAGGGAGCAGCAGCAGAAGCAGCAACAACAATAGCAGCAGCAGCAGCACAAAGCAGCAACATGCCGCTGAAACAGCTGCAGCAACGGCGACAAGAGCGGCGCGAACTCGAACAGCAAAACAAAAACCAACAGCAGCACCGCCAGTAGCAGCAGCTGCTGCTGCAGCTGCGGCAACAACAAGGGCACCAGCAGCTGCAGCAGGAGCAGCTGCAGCAGGAGCAGCTGCAGCAGCAACAACAGCAGAAGCGGCGTACCCTAAGGAAGAGGGGGCTCTCTTGCCCGTTGTAAGCCCTCGCATTCTCCACCAGGCGTGTCAAATACTTCTCCAGCTTGCTGCAACACAAAAACAAGAACGAAAACCAAACAACACCACTACTACTACTGCTGCTGCTACTGCTGCTGCTGCTTCTACTGCTGCTGCGTTTCGTGCGGGTGGTGCTGGTGGTGGTGCTGCTGCTGCTGCTGTTGGAGAGTCCCGTGCTGCTGTCATAAGCTGCTGCTGCTGCTGCTACGTTGATGCCTCACTTGAGGGAGGTGAATTCGCTTTTGTCTGCAAACCGCCGAATTTGCAGCAGACAGACGGGTTTAGCGACGCGCTGTACAGACACCAGAAACATAACCCCACATGCATGCACGCATACTGCTGTTGCTGCTTGTGTCGTTGCTGCTAGCGCTGCTGTTAAGTTGCTGCTGTTGCAGCTGCTGCTGCCACCTGATTGCCCTGCGTAAGCTGCGTTGCATAGTGCGGCGAACAGATGAAAAAAATAAAGTGGAGACGAGCGCCCACACAGTGCATGCTGCTGCTGCTGGTGGGGGAGCAGCAGCAGCTGCTGCTGCAGCAGCAAAGAAGCGCGAAAAAGAACTTACCTCGAAATAATCCTTATAAACAGCTGGGTTAGGGAGCTCAACAAATGCAGAAAATCGTTTGTCTTCAAGCGCCTCCGTTAATGCCTCTGCAATAGCTCGGTTTAATAGCGTCCTCCACTGGGTTGGGTTTGCTGCGCATGCAGCAGCAGCACCTGCGCTGTCTGCTGCTGCTGCTGCTCCCCCACACCCCCATATGTCTTCCCCTCCTTCGCTGCCGCCGGGAACCACACGCCCGCAACTTCCTGTTGCTGCTGTTGTTGCTGCACCAGATGATGCAGCAGCAGCACTAGCTGCAGCAACACCCGATGAAGACACCGTGCTGCCGCCATCTCGTAAAGCCGACCCTCCAGTTGAACTCGTAGCTGCTGCTGTTGCTGCTGCCTCTGCTACTGCTGATGGGTCTGATGCTGCTGATGGGTCTGACGCAGATGCTGCTGCTGCTCCTCCTGGTGCTGCTGCTGTTGCAGCAGCAGCAGCGTCTCCTGCTGAGGAAACAGCTTCAAGCGAAGCAACGGCACTCTCCGTCAGCGGAGTCGTACCACTGGGCGGCACACGATCCCATCCTGTTGCTGCTGCTGCTGTTGCTGCTGCTGTTGCTGTTGTCGTCTCTGCTGGTGCTGCATCTGCACCGGGCAAAGTGGAGGCTTGCACAGCAGCTCCTGCTATCATTTCTGCTGCTCCTGCTGCTGCGGCGTCCGCTGATGCTGCTCCTGCTGCTGCTGCTGTAGGTGCAGCAGCCTCCAATGGGCCCGCGGGTGTACCGTCAGCTGCCTGCGAAGCTCCGGGTGTATCCGCAGCAGCAGCAGCAGCAGTAGTAGTGGATGGAATTGAAACTCCCACCCCAGTCCCTACTTTGAACTCAGCTGCAGCGTCCGGTGCAGCAGCAGCAGGCGCTGCTGCTGTGGGAGATCCAACAAGGGTTGCTGCTGCCGCCTCCCCTGCTCCTGCTGCTGCTGTTGCAGCTGCTGCCTCTGCTGCTGGAACTGCAGCACTGCCGCCAGCAGATGAAGCCGCAGCTTCCGCCTGAGGCTGCTGTTCTTGTTGCACTTCCGGCTGTTGCTGCTGCAGGACTTCCTGCTGCTGCTGCTGCTGCTGCTGAGAGAAAGGCAAACTGGCGCTTTCTCCCTGCACCGTCATGTCCGCAGCTGCTGCAGCAGGAGGAGCAGCAGCAGAAGTAGCAGGCAAGGCTGTTTCTCCCGTTGCTGCTGCTGCTAGCGACGGCGCTGCTGTTGATACTGCCTCATGTGCTGCTGCTGCCGCACCGCCAGGAAGACCAGCAGCAGCTGCTGCAGCGGTTCCTGCTGTCTGCGTCTGCGGCGCATGCGTTGCCGCCGCAGGAGCAGTTCCAGCAGGAGCAGCAGCTGGAGCAGCGGCAGCAGCAGCAGGAGGTTGTGTCGTGGTGCTGCTGCCTACAAACTGCAGCGGCACCGGCAGCAGCTGAGGTATTTTCTTTTTGCGTTGTATCGACCAGAAATCTGACAGTGCGTAGCCGCACTTCCAAAGGTGTGCTGCTGCTGCAGTGTTCGCCACCAGCTGCGTCTGTACGTACACCCCAAACAGCAGCAGCAGCGGCAGCAGCAAATGGAATAATACAGAATCATCATCTACGCGCTTCAGCCTTCTCTTAATGCCACGCCGCATACTCGTCTACAGGCCTCTCCTACTCTGCTGCTGCTGCTGCTGCTGCTGCTGCTGTTGCTGGGACTACGGTTAATAGGCTTCCTAACACTGCTCTTCTTGCTGTTGCTAAGGCTAGTAAGCCTCAACCTCTGCTACTGCTGCTACTGCTGCTTTTACAACGCCTCTTCTAATCAGGAGCAGCAGCAGCAGCTGCTGCTGCAGCAGCAAGGTGTGGTGGGGCCGCACCTGTGAGCGTTCTACTGTCTTAGACCACTTGAACAGACACGGAGGAATTGCTTCGCCATAAATGAGGCCAGGGAGATGCAGCAGCTGCAGCAGCAGCACAGCAACAGCACAGCAACAGCAGCTCCAACCAACAGCAGCAGCACGCGCTAGGCGGCAGCAAACAAAACAAAAATTAACGAACAAACAAACAAACAGACAAAACAAACAAGCAGGCAGACAGAGAGGCAGCAGCTGCTTGATTGCTGCTTCTGCTGCTGCTGCTTGTGCTTATGCACAAGCAGAAGCATAGCAACAGCATCAGCTTCAGCACCATCACCATCATCATCATCAGCTTCAGCAGCAGCATCAGCAGCAGCAGCAGAAAGAGGCTGACCTGTCTGATTTTTTGAAGTGCATCGAATAGAGTGGCTTCCTTTGGATTTCGCGCGAGCTGACTTTTTAAAATACCAAAGTCAAACGGCCGACTCCAGTTCGCCTCCAGCTGCTTCCGGCGACGCAAGATCTCACGCACCCTATACAGCAGCAGCAGCAGCAGCAGCAACAGCACGTGCAGCAAGAATAGCAGCAGCAAGAGTAACAAGAGTAGTAACAGCAGCAAAGGCAGCAGTGGCAGAGCAAAAAAAGCAAATGGAGCTGCAACAGAAACGGAGGCAAAACCAGTACCAACAGCAGCAGCAGTATATCTGCTGCTGCTACTGTTGCTGCTGATGCTGCTGCTGCTCTGCTGCACTTGCATCAACTTCGCGAAATAAGACCCTATAACTCCGAGAGAAAAATATAATATATATATATATATGCAGCATATAAAGCCCCACACGCATGCATGCGCATGCATGCATTGGGTGTACGTACTGTTCTTGTCTCTCTGTCTCTCTATCTTGTAGTTCGCCATTATACATGCCGCTTTTAATAACGAGGGCATCTTTATCTAACTTTAACTCCGCTGAATGCAAAATCTGCTCTTCAATTGAAGACGGAGTAACAAAGCGAATCGTCAGCACTTCGCGCTTCTGCCCAATACGGTGAGCCCTGCAGCAAATCATCAAAGACCAGCAGCAGCAGCAGCAGCATCAGCAGCAGCAACACCAACAGCAACAGCAGCAAAAACAACAACAGAAGCAGCAGCACCAACACCAACAGCAGATGCAGAAGCAGCAAAAGCAGCAATAGCAGCGACACTAGCAGCAGCAGCAGTTGCAACAACACCAACAGTAGCAGCAATAGCAGCACCAGCAACAGCAGCAGCAGCAACAGCAGCAGCAGCAACAGCAGGATACCTTGACTGTGCCTGTTCATCGTTTTGGGGGTTCCAATCCGAGTCAAAGATGATGACGGTGTCTGCAGACTGCAGGTTCACCCCAAGGCCTGAGGCACCCAACAAACCCTAAACCCTAAAACCCTAAACCCTAAGCCCTAAACCCTAAACCCTAAACCCTAAACCCTAACCTTTAACACCTAAACCCTAAAATCTAAACCCTTAACCCTAGAGAAGAAGCATTAAAGAAGCGCACTCGGTGGAGTGTAGCGCCTGCATTTGTTGCAGCGCTGTTTTGCAGCAGAAGTATGTGTGTAGGAGGGTTTAGGGTTTAGGGTTTAGGGTTTAAGGTTTGGGGTTTACCTCCTGCTTTGGTAGAAAGAATGAAGAGAAAATAAGGAGAGTTCTCCTGATTATACAGCGCCAGTCGAGTCTGCCGCTCTTCGCTCGAAGTCCCTCCATCCAAACGTAGATATTTATAACCCCGCAACGATAAATATGCCTGCATGCAGCATATCATTTGCATGCATTGATGCATGCATTGATGCATGCATTGCTGCATCCAATGCTGCATGCATGTGGTGTGTTGCGTGCAGGTAGGCAGGGAGGAACACTGCTGCTCTTGACGCTGCTGCTATTTCCTGCGGCTTGCTGCTGCTGCTGCTGCTACTGGAACTGCCGCTGCTATTGCTGCTGTTGCTGCTGCCCTACCTCTAGGAGGTCCAGCAGCTTAGTCATTTGACTGAATACCAACACGCGGTGCTGCGCTGCCTTCAATGCCGGCAGCAAAACATCCAGCATGGCGAACTTCCCGCAGCAACGCACCAGACTCTCATCAGCTGCAACAGCAGTAGCAGCAGCAAGCGACACGCAGCAGCAGCAGCAGCAGCAGCAGAATATTTCATAGAGCAAGACAATGCTGCTGAGCGTACAGCATCCACTACAGCTGCTGCTGCAACATAATCCCTCACAAAAAACCAACCAACCGCACCAGCAGCAGCAACAGCAGCAGCAAAAGGCCAGCAACAGCAACAGCAGCTGCTGCAGCAAGTGCTGCAGCAGGTGATGCAGCAACCGCAGAGGTGCATCTCGCCGCAATCGCATGCCAAGGCTAGAAAGCCAGGAATATCCACACCCAGAAACCCTGAACCCTAAACCCTAAACCCTAAACTCACGAGTAAAGGAGCTAAAGCAAAAGAGAAAGGGATGGTTGCAGACTTTGCGAAGTTGCACCATGCGGTTGTGGCCCATAGGACTCTCTTCGATCTGAACTCACAAACCCCAAGCCCTAAGCCCTAAGCCCTAAACCCTAAACCCTAAACCCTAAACCCTATACTCTATACTGTAAACACGGCACCCTACACTCGGCTCTCTTAACCATGAACCCTATAACCCACAGAGCTTACTACCCCCTAAACCCTAAACCCTAGCCCGCCGGAGCTCACAATGCGATAGAGAATCCTCTGTACACCAGAAAGAGGACACCAAACAATTTCTTCTTGTTTTGACGGTAACTCATTTGCTACTTCTGCTTTCTCACGCCGCAGCAAGAACGGCCGAAGGACCTGCACATACACCCCAATGCATGCACCGCAGTATATACACACCAATTCTTTGCCCCTGTAGGGGCAGCAAACAACGCAGAGCAGCACAAAACGCAGCAACAGCAACAACAACAGCAGCAGCAACAGCAGCAGTAATCACGCAAGCAGAAGCATACAAACGCCACCTAGGCCCTAAACCCTAAACCCTAAAACCTAAAACGCCAATAAGCCCTAAGTCTGCAACCGCAAACCCTACAGCCGAATAAACCCTAAACCCTAAACCCTAAACCCTCGACATCGTGTGCGGCGTTTGTTGCCGGCCTTGCCTTGTGAAGTCTATCAACGATGAGTAGTTTTTCTTCTTCTGTAACGGTTAGGGTATGGCCGGATTCCTCTGCTGCTGCTGCTGCTGCTGCACCCCCCTGCAAAGCCCCTAAAGAAGATGAAGAAGTTCCTAAGGGAACATTCAGCCACTGCTCGAAATTTAACTTCGCATTAAATATTGAAGGCATCAAAAAATTTAATAACGCCCAAACCTCCACGATGTCGTTCTGCAGCGGAGTCCCTGTTCATAGAAAAGCAACAATAAATATGTCAATTAGTTTATAATAGTTAATTATAATAATTAATAATGTATATATATAATATACATATTATTATGTAATTATTATTATGTAATAATATTTACACTACATATATATATATTTTATATAAGTAAACATTCAGTAATCAATATGTAATTCATAGACGGAGAAAGGAGCGAATAAACAAGCAACAACAAGCAAACAAGCAAACAAACAAATAAGTAGCTGCATAAGTAACGAACAAACAAATAAACAACAAACAAATAAACAAATATACAATACAGTAGAAAAGCAATGAAAACCAACGCGGAAAACAACAAACAAACAACAAATAAACAACAGCAAACGGCAATCAACAAATAACAAACCAAAAAATACACTTAAGAAATTGTATGTACAAACTATATAATATGTATAAAAATACATAGGCATTGATATACATAGGCATATATATATATTTATTTATTTATATATTGGAGACAGAGAGAGAGAGAGAGGCATTCGCGAAGATGAGGTCTTGCTGCTGCTGCTGCAGCTGCTGCTGCTGACGCACGGGGGTCTACGCAGCAAAATGCAACGCTAGCACAACACCCATCGGCGCTGCTGCAGCAACACGCTGCACGGCTGCAGCTCTGCAACAGCAGCAGCAGCACTATAGCAGCAGCAAGACATCAGCAGCAGCAAAAGGAATAGGGCCCGACCTGTCAGCGCGATGCGTCTGCGAATAGAGAAACCGGCGTTCAGCGTCTGCACCAACTTGCTGCTGGGGTTCTTCAGCCTAAACAGCAGCAACAGCAGCAGCAAAAACAATATACGATGCAGCCCCGCCGACGGAAAGACGGTTTTTCTGCAGCATTAAGCTGGGCGCAGCAGTGGCAGCAGCTGCAGCAGCACAGCCAAGGAGGCGCTACGTTGCTGCTTCAGCAGTATTCGAAGGCACGAAAGCACAGCATGGCAAGCGCAGCAGCGCATAGAAGAATCAACCAGAGAACAGCAGCAGCAGCAGCAGCAGTAGTAGTGGCAGCAGCAGCAGTAGCAGCAGCAGCGCGAGTAAGAGAAACAAGAAGGAAGAATAGGGCAGCAGAGCTGTTGCGATAAGGAACAGCAAAGGACCCCTTATTAAATCCCAATCACACGACAACGAAATGAATAAAAAGAAAAGCATCAAATAAAGAAAGAAAAGCTCTAAACCCCTCAAAATGAGCCTAGGAAAAGCAGAAAAAAATACAGCACGCCCGAGTACCTAGGGTTTAGGGTTTAGGGTTTTGCGGACCTGTGGGCCTCATCTACAATGAGGTATTCCCATTGTATTTTTTTAAGGAAGCTTTTATCGCGCAAGACAAAGGCATCCGTAGTCAACAAAACATCAAAAAGCGGCTCCCAGAAACGCTGCGCCTCGGGCCCGCTACTATCAACACGAACGCCTGAAACAATTCTGCTTCGGAGTGCCTTACGCACCTGAGTAAAACAAACAACATATATATATATATATATATACATATCCTTATATCCTTATTCCTAATATATAACCCTATTAGTACACAATGATAAAAGAAAAAGTTAGAGTTACTGAGCACCGTCACATCCCTTACAAACGAAACCCGCAAAAGTCAACGAAAAAAATGAGGAGACAACAAACAAGAGCAAAGTAAAAGGCAAATACACGAATAATGAAAGTAATAGAAGCATCAGCACGTACGCACAAAACAAAAAAATAAAATAGAAATAGTATCATACTTCCTTCGCTCCTTCATATACGACAATTCGCAAAGAGGGCCACCACTTTTTAAACTCGAACCGCCAATTGCCGTGCAAAGTTGAAAGAGGCGCCAGAATTAAATGGGGGTTGCGAACGCCTTTCTTTTCATGAAGATATGCCAAGAAAGATACTGTCTGCACGGTCTTCCCTAAACCCATACAGTCCGCCTGCAGTAGCAGCAGCAGCAACAGCAGCAGCAGAAGCAGCAGCAATGAAAGCAGCAGTGATGCGATGGAAAAACCCAACGCCAAAATACATATATGCACCACCTTCATGCTGCTATCTCCTTCCTTCCTCTCCTCGCACAGCAGCAACAAAGAGCAGCAGAAGCAGCAGCTGCAGCAGCAAGAGCAGCAGCAGCAGCAGCAAGTGGAGCTAACGAGTATTCCATTGAGGCCATTGTTGTGCAGCGAGACGAGCCAGTTGAGACCCTCCATTTGGTACGGCCGGAGGGTCCCCCCCTTAAGGCAGGAAGGCAACTCCGTAACTCTCTCCTGTTTAAAGAAAAGAAAAACAAAAACAAACGAAAAAGGGAAGATAAAAAGGAATATTAAGACAAAGTATCCGCATGCATAAGGTGTATATGAAGGTGTCGGGATATACAATAATGTGTGTGTAATACATATGAGGTGTATATGCAGCTCATGTGCGGGGTAGAAACAAATATATTAGGCGCAGATACAGGTATGTTAGGCGTGTACACAGGTATGTGGGGTGCATATAAAGTCAAAAGTATGTGGGGTGTATATAAAGGTATGTGGGGTGCATATAATGGTATGTGAAATGTATATAAAGGTATGCGGGGTGTAAATAAAGGTATGTGGGGTTTACATACAGGTATGTGGTGTGCACATGCAGCTATTTGGGGTGTATATGGAGCAGGTGCGTGGGATGTATACAGGTATGCGGGGTGTAAAAATGAAAAGGTATGTGTGTGGGAGGGACTTATAGGTACCCGTTGGCTGTGAGTAATGCGATAATATCTTTCTTTCGAAAACAAAAAGGAAGAAGAGAGCGAGCCAGAAGCCTCCTCCGCAGCACCGTCTGCTTCCTCCTCAGTCTGCATGGTACACAGCAGCAGCAGCAGCAGCAGCAACAGCAGCAGCAGCACGAATGAAAAGGCAGCCGCTACTGCAGTCCGAGGGTAGGGAAGCGGAAGTGTGTGATGCTGATAATTTGTTTGCACGGGTTTGTTCTTCACTTTGCAGTGTCTTAACAACGAACTCCACAACAAACCTAAAACCTAAACGCAGATAAATGCGTGCATGCATGCATGCAGTGAAATTCTTACAGACGGGACTGTGATTCCTTCTCGCTCCCGCTGCTCCACAACAAGGCTTCCTATCTGCTGCATATATCTCTCTGTCTGCCGCACCAGCTGCAGCAGCCTCTCGTTCTTTGTTTCTTGTAGCAGCTTCAGGTAACCCGCTTCGTCGTGCTTCTGCACACGCAGCAGCAGCAGCAGCAGCAGCAGCAGCAGCAGCAGCTGCACCACAAAACTCCGCGCCCCCCTCCCTCACCTCTCTATACACCCCAGCGCCCCCATATTCATGTAAATAATACGCATACAGCCACAAGGGCAGAGACACCCGGAGAATCCACGCTACAGCAGCAACTTCAGCAGCAACTGCAGCAGCAAATGCAGCAGCAGCAGCCAGAACTACGCATGTATTGCATAAGCATCAGCAGCAACCAGCCTCCGCAGCAGCCAGCAGCAGGAGCAGGAGGCAGCAGCAGCAGCAGCATCTAACCCTCAACATATCGAGCCTCTCTTTTCTCATTTGTGCTGCAACAGCAGCAGCTCCAGGACAACCGCAATCTGTGGGGTGCAGCGGGTGGTCGCAAGTTGAGGGCCCTTCTGTTCCGTCTGCAGCAGCAGCTTTCTTTCTCTTGACAGCAGCAGCAACTCTGCGTAGCTGCCGCAGCATGTCGCGGTGCTGCTGCAGGAAGGTGCGTCTGTGGCTATCAAGGAGCTGCTGCAGCACTTGCTGCCGTTGCTGCTGCTGCTGCTGTCGCGCTGCTGTCAATCTGTCTCCCCTCTCCCGCAGCAGCCGCAAGGCCCTGTGCTTCCGCGCCAGCCGTATAGGAAGCGACTGCAGCGGAGGAAGCTGTCCTGGTGCTTCGGTTATTCGCTGCAGCATCACTTCTTCTCTTATTTGCTTTTGAAAGGGAGCCAGCAGCAGCAGCCGCCGCTGCAACCGGCTCAGACGCGCCCGCTCCTGCATACTGCTGCTGCTGCCGTCGTCTGCTGGGCGCTCCAGACCCCCCACCCCCCACCACTCTTCTGCAGCAGAAGAACAAGAAGAGCATTCAGATTCGCTCTCCTCTCCAGAAGTAGTAGCATCGGTAGCTGATGCTGCTGCTTCTGCATCGGCGCTACGTGCTGCTCCTGCTGCACCTGCCGCTCCTGCTGCTGCTGCTTCCACTTCTTCCCCGCTCCTGCTGCTGCTGCTACTGCTGCTGCTGTGGGGACCTCCAGCAGCGGCAGAGGCGTCCTCCCTCTTGGCATCGTCGTCGTCTGGGCGGATTGCTGGCTCCAGCTGCTGCTGCTGCTGCTGTTCCTGTTGCTGCTGCTCCTGTTGCTGCTGTCGTTGTAAGCCGGTAGCAGTGTCTGCAGCAGTATCGGGCTGCGGTGGCTCATCTTGCTGCAGGGTGTCCTTCATAGAGGCTGTTTGGTGCTGCTGGTCCTGCTGCTGCTGCTGTTCCTCCTGCTGCAGTTGCTGTTGCTTTTCTTCTTGCTGTTGGTGTTCGTCTTGCTGCTGCTGCTCCTCCTGCTGCTGGTGCTCCTCTTGCTGCTGCTGCTGCTCTTCTTTCTCCAGCCGCAGGCGCGCGAGTTCGTCATACTTTTGCGCCTGCTGCTCGAGAGCGTCTACCGCCCGCTGCTGCTGCTGCTGCAGTTGCTCCTCATAGAGCTGCACGAACAGCTGGTGGCTTCGGGGTCGCTGCTGCTGCTGCTGCTCTTTCGGCATCGGTGGTTTGTAGCTTGCTGCGCCTTCTGCTGCTGCAGCAACAGCAGCAATGAATTCGCGGTTGGGCTTGAAACCCAAAGCAGGTGATATCCCTAGCTGCAGCAGCTCCTCCTCCTGCAACGGCTGCTGCTGCAGCAGCAGCCGCATGTAGGCGCGGGTCTGCCGCACCAGCCGGTCGAGTTGATCCCCCGTAAAGAGACGTGAGGGGTCTATCTGCTGCTGCTGCTGCTGCTGCAGCCATCGCAGTACAACCAGCAGCACTCGCACACGTGCATCACGTAGCGATAGCCGGTGGAGAGACAGCTGATGCAGCAGACGGCAGAAAGCGCTGTACAAGCCAGGAGATTCAGGGGTGCGCAGAAGCTGCAGCTGCTGCTGCTGCAGCTGTTGCTGCTGCAGCTGCTGCAGCTGCTGAAGCTGCAGCCGCTGCTGCCGCACGTGCTGCTGCTGCTGCATCAACTGTGGCGCCTTCATCATCCCCACCGGCAGTTGGGGCTGCAGTTGCTGCTTCTGCAGCTGCTGCTGCTGCAAGTGCTGCAGCAATCCACGCTGTGCAAAGATCTGATGCTGCTGTTGTTGCTGCTGAGCAAGCAGCTGCTGTGTAGTGCTGGGCGCAAGCGGTGCTGGAGCAGCAGCAGCAGCTGCAGCAGCTGCTGCAGCTGCTGCAGCTGCTGCTGGTGTAGTCGTTAGCTGCGCCAGATCCCGCACTTGTCCCTGCAAAGGGAACGTCAGCTGACCGCCATTCATCTCCTGCGGCTGAACAGGCAGCTGCTGCAGCTGCTGCTGCAGCTGCTGCTGCATTTGCTGCTGCAGCTGGGCCTCCGGAGTCTCAGGCCAGTGTTGGGTGGCCTGTTGCTGCGGCTGCTGCAGCGGCTGCTGCAGCGGCTGCTGCAGCGGCTGCTGCGGCTGCTGCTGCTGCTGTGGCACCAGCGAGTACTGCTGCGTGAGCTTCATTTGCTACAACACGCAAATGCTTCGATCCCGTTCTCAGCTGTTCTGCAGCAGCAGCCGCTGCCGTTGGCTGCTGTCGCTGCTGCCTTACAGGCAAATGCCGAAAAACATTTGAATGCCTCGTGCTGCGGCGCAACAGCAACAGCAGCAGGAGCAGCAGCAGTACTGCTTGCGGCAGCTGTCCCAGCTACCCGTCTTAGAGTGCCTCACCCAAAGGATGTTCGCTCGGCTGTGGAGGCTAGACTGCCGCAGCCGCTGCAGCAGCAGCTGCTGCTGCGCACTGCAGCTGCAGCAGGCGCTGCATGAGCTGGTGCTGCAACAGCAAGACCCAGTTGGAGCCCACGAGATGAAACAAATTGAAATACGAGGCTACAACCCCTGTCCCTTGGCCAGGCAGCCGAGGGGCGTTCTAGCAAAGAGGGAGTATTCAATTTGAGTTTTCACCGGTTGCCTGGTAGCAACTAGCCTCAAGATTTAATATGAAGTGAAGACAACACCACGTTGATGTGCCGAACCCTCAATGGCGCGAGCCGTTCATACAGCCGATGCTGAAACCAACAAAACGGCTGGGGGGTAGACTTGGGTTCCCTGCTGTCGTTCTGAGGCGGCAGCTTCCGATATTTGCGAGATTATGAAACTACAGGCAAAGGCACTGAAGAAACGCAAAAGAAGAAGTAGTAATGAGCTGCGGCGGCGCAGACAATCTTACGACCGCCTAGGCTCTCTACCTGCGAAGCAGGCACAGATATCCGGGCTTTAGGTACGCGCGAAGCCCCTCAATAGAGAGGCAAAACGATAATACAGGCAAGTTACTGAATAAAAGCCAAAATGCCATGAACAGAAAGCCCCAGCTTCCCCAAGCCTGGCTCTGCTGGGCTCTGCATGCAGTGTTCGTTGGGCAGCGACAGCGGCAGCGGCACCCGACGAAACCTGGAAGTAATCGCCATTAAATAGACTATCTTTCGAGGTTAAAAAGCTCAGTTAGTCATTTTATTCGGGAAACACGTAGACATCCACAAGTCTACGGTCTCACTTGTAGTATGACGCGCCCTCGAGCAGTGGTAAGCATGTCGGCTAGAAGCTTTCCTCTTTGCTGTTTCTTTTCCTCTCTAATCCAAACACGGTTTACCATTTATTTTAAAATCTGTTTTAAATAGATTAGTCCTGAGAGCTTCTGCAGCCTTTTAGGGATTTACCCCTGTGCTATTCTCCCCTTGTGCATTGGTCGTTTCAACAACAACCACCACTCACGGGGTGTCGATAAGAAGCAGACAGGCCTCTGTCTGTACGTTTGATGAAGAGTATGCGCCTCCCGAATGGGCGGTTTGTTGCTGCTACCGTTGTGGCTGCTGCTGCTGTCATTACCGTTTCTGCCTTGAGCCAGTTGCGTGGAAACGCCCGCAGGAATATTTGAAGATATCACGCGTAAGATGAATGCTATTCGTGGTGGACAGTAAGTATCATGCTACATTACTATTAAATATCAGTTCTAAGTGCATGATAATTATATCTGTTAGTACTCTAACCGCTGGGCATTTGAATATGTAGACGCGCAACCCAAAATTTCGAAAAAGTAAAGCATGGACAACACCTGAGAGAGAGGCAGAAGCAAAGGGAGGAGTGTAAGCTGTGCTTCTCGACAGCAGCTGCTGGGTACGAGAGCCCTGGGACGAGAGAAGCTGCTACACACCTTTAGAGCAGCAACAGCAACAACAGCAGCAGCAACGGCAGCGGGACATGCACGTAGGCACAGACAACCTGGAGGAATACGCAACAGAAAACAATCCAAGTGCGAAGATACATTTGAATTGCGCCGTATAACGAAAACATATATCGTTGAGATGCAGCGAACAACAAAGAAACGATTGTCTTGTTGCTGTTCTGGAGATGCTCTTCTTGTATTGCCGTTCGGAGGCAACGCCGCATGCAGGAAGTCAATGAAGTTGCAAAGAGAAAAAGAACTGATGAGAAACCTGTGAATATCTTCATTGCCCGCGTAATGAATATGCACGTTCATGCACATAGTTGAATATATACATGGACTTCAATATATGTATGTATACATGTATAATGCACACAAATATATAAATATACATATTTATGAAAGTGCTTCTATGGAGGTGTAGGTTCACGAACATCGTTCTATACATGTAGACGCCTTGCAAACAACAGGTTGTGCTGTTGTTCTTTTGCGTGTGAGGAGTTACGAGAGGTGCTCTATTTGGTGACTGACACAAACGCTGGCTAGAAAAAAGGCCTCTTCTTGCTAGCGCATGCTGTTTTAGAGTAGCTACGGCATTCGCGCAACTGCTTTGTTTATGGGGAACTAGGATTGGCAAAAGCCGGAAGCCTCCCTAACAAAGCTAGTCGCACTAATCGCCGCCAGCATTTAATCCGACGGAATAAACATCATAACAAAGCATGCACAAAATCCCTTTCTGAACAACTGACAGCAGAAACTGAAGTGTTCGAGGAAATTATTCAAAGGCTGGACTTTCATAGAAAGATACTACATCCCAACGGAAACAGCTGGAGCCGATATATAAAGGTATGAAATATACGAGCCCAAGAAGGGCGGCATGGGCAAAATCACATTAAGAAGGAACTTCACACAAGAAGTAAACGCACGAACAACTTTGGATATTTATTCAACTCGTGAACAACCTAGAGAACTAAAAGAACTAAAAGAAGCTCATAAACAACCTGAATTTTGGACTAATTCCATGAGAAACATAAGGCATCTATTTAGCTCAAGAACGCAGTTCGTGATGCTGCGTTCAGCCTTCAAGCGAATTCCTCTCTGCAACGTCAAAGAACATTTTTGAGGGGGCCTATTCTAAGGAGGAACACACTTCATACAGTACGCTTCTATTACATGTACATTCACTTAATTCACAGATATATTTTAAAGGAGTTTTTCTCGTAAATGACAGAATTAGAGCACCTCAGATATGCCTGCAGTGAGAGTCCTGTCTCCGCCGCGGTACCAGCGGGGTGTACGGCGTGCGCGGAGAGGAGTATACATCTTAAGGCTCATTATCCTCTTTATTTGTATTCAAATTTCTGTTCCTTTCAAGAATACGAAAGAAGGAGAAGAATACAAGACAGCTGAAAACAGACACCAACACCGCATGCGCGATGCTTGCAGCAGCCATCAACTCGTCGGCAACGGCGGCGCCGGGGCTGTTGGCCGTAGTAGGTGAGCATCACAAGCGCCTCGATCTTCCCTCAATAAAAGGTGTAATTCAATAAGAGAACTTGTGGAAGTCAGCGCCTCTCAGAAACCTCATGGGAACTCCCGCAGTCACCTAATTTGTTGCAGCTTTCCACTGCTGCTAATCGCTCTTCACCCTGGTGCTGCGGGAGCGGTAACGCACGCAAGGCAAGCAGCATTCTTTCCGGTATCTTTTCGCATATGAGGGCGTTTTGACTCGAAGACGTTTTCAGCGAGGCGAAGGGTCTCATTTGTGCGTCGCTGCAGCAGTCGAACCCAAGTTGAATCTGCAGCTGCAGCTACGAGTGTTCTCTGTCTGTCGCTGCGCCGACTGTTCGCTGGTTGTTCTGCAAAGATGGCGGGCGCCAGCGCAGTGCTGGTGCTGGACGGTCGAGGGAAAGTGATAATAGGCCGAGATTACCGCGGCGACGTCTCTCTGGCTATTAGCGAGAGGTTCGCCTGTAGGGTTATTGACCAGGAGGAGGCAGCTGTCACGCCTGTATTTGAAGACGAAGGGGTGACGTATTGCTGGGTGAAGCTGAAAAACATCTACTTGCTGGCGTTGACTCGCCGAAATGCAAACGCGACGATGCTTTTGGCGTTTCTGCACAAGCTTGGGTCAGTGCTGACGAGTTATTTCCACGAACTGGCTGAGGAAAGTCTTCGAGACAACTTCGTCATTACTTATGAGCTTCTGGATGAGATGATTGACAACGGATACCCCCAAACCACAGAGGTGAAGGTTTTAAGCGAATTCATCAAAAACCAGGCGCACCAGTTGTCTACAGCAGCCGTTCGGCCGCCCACCGCAATGACAAATGCAGTGTCATGGCGGTCTGAGGGAATAGTGCATAAGAAGAATGAGATTTTCTTAGACGTTGTGGAAAAACTGGATTTGTTGGTGGCTGCAAATGGAAACGTACTGCGTTCTGAAATCCTGGGCTCTCTTAAAATGAAGTCTTTCCTCTCTGGCATGCCGGAGCTGAAACTGGGGCTTAACGACAAGTTGGTGTTGGAAAACAGCGGGAAATCAACGGGACGAGGCCGTGCCATTGAAATGGAAGACGTGAAGTTTCACCAATGCGTTCGTCTTGCGCGTTTCGAGAACGACAGAACGATCTCCTTCATCCCCCCGGATGGCGAATGCGAGTTGATGTCGTACCGTCTTCACACCCAAGTGAAGCCGTTGATTTGGGTAGACTGTCAAATAGATACAGGCACCTCAGGCAGCCGCTTGGAGTACCTGGTGCGCGCCAGAAGTCAGTTCAAGCCTCGTTCAGTTGCTGGGGGCGTTGAAATACGAATCCCTGTGCCTGCTGATGCGGGAGCAGGGCACTTCAAAACGACCATCGGCAGCGCTAAGTACGTGCCTGACTTAGACTGTCTCGTGTGGAGCATCCGCCACTTCCAGGGGCAAAGAGAATACAGCATGACGGCGTCCTTCTCCCTGCCTTCTGTAGAAGACGAGTCCAGACGCAACTTCATGAGACGCCCCATTCAAGTTCTTTTTGAAATTCCCTACTTCACAGTCTCAGGCATCACCGTACGCTACCTCAAAATCATTGAAAAGAGCGGATATCAAGCACTGCCGTGGGTCCGATACATCACCCAAAACGGAGACTACCAACTTCGCCTCACTTGACTTGTTGCAGCGGTGCAGCTAGCTGCCGGCAGCGCTGCTGCTGCAGGACCCCTGCAGCATTGCTGCTTCAGCAGTCAATCACCAAATGTCACCAGCTACTGCACAACCCAGGATAGTGGGATTTCCCCTTTACCCGTTGTGTCGAGCACCAACAGCACTCGCCAGTTGCTGCTACCACATCGAGTCGCACTTCGTGTTAAAACTGCACAAGGAGGCGGGCCGGGGCCGTTGGAGCCCCCTGGAGACTGGCGAGCCCCCTTTGGGGGCCCAGGGAACTCCTCGTCCTCTATCGGCACGTGCAGGGGCCTGTTTCATCAATCAAGTACATTTTTAATCTCTGAGTTGGGTTCAAATTGCAAAATCCTGAGCCATTAGGCAAACGCTGCATGAATTCTGCTACGTGGGATGCACGCAGCTTTCTTGTGCCTCTTTCTGGGCTGACTGAAAGCGGTAATGTATTTGTGTAGGGGAGCTCAACGTGTACACAACGCATCTATTTGCTTCATCCTCTAAGGGTGGGCATTCCCGGAGAGGGTGGCATTTGATGCTGCTGCTCCGGCTGCTGTAGTTGAGGTCGTTGCTGCTGCACCTGCTGTTGCAGCAGCTGCTGTTGCTGTGCTTGCTGTTCCTGGCAGCGGCAGCAGTCTATACAGGGGCACAGGCAAACCGACCCGAAAAAGCCGGAACCGCTTACGTGGGTTGAGGCGTTCAGGTCGAGGAGAGATTCCAGGTGTGCGTATGCTGCTGCGGGGGGTCCGCCGCATGCAACATGATAGGTGCTGAGTAAGCAACAGCTTGAGTTCACATTGAAGTCGTAGACGAGGCAGATTAGAAGAGGAGAGAAAGGAGCTGGCGTTTCTTCGTACCCATCTAACAGTCTCGCATTTGCGACGTGTCGGGGAGACTCGGTTTCTGATATTTTCAAAGCTCGCGAGGAGATGCGCTGCTGCTCTTGCTGCTGTTGCTGCCGCTGCAGTGGTGCAGGCTGTTGCTGCACACTGCTGCAGCATGGATTCCTCGTATAGCGGCCTAGATAGCTCACAGCCGCTCTTCCTGCAGGCGAACAGCGTTTTTGAATCCATTGGTAATCAATCATATGTATACGTGTATATTGTCTATATATGTGATGCATGAACACTACATATACTATATTTGAGTTGCTTCTGCATATGGCCTGTAATTATTTATTATACATGGCAGGTCTTTTCTGTGTGTAAGAGCATTCACCATGAGCCCTACGGGCCCCCCGTCCCTCGAACATCTTTTAGTTTGCTCGCTGCTGTCGACCCTTCTAACATCCTTGAACTGAAGGACAGCCATTGCATTGCATTCAAAGGAGTATATATGTTTAAATATATATTGATACAGTTTAGGGCCAAGGATTTTCCCGTTAGAAGACAGAAGTTTATAGCCCCTTCCGCTTATGCTTGTCGTTGCAGAGGTTTTTACTCGCATTACCCGCTTTGGCGATCGTTGCTTAGGGTTTAGGGGTTTATGGTTGCAAATGGCTATTACTTTTAGTTTTGTGGCGTTTTAAAGGAGTACAAAATGTGTAAAAGCCGCGTGCTAACCCGGATATGTGATTCACTTTTGGAAAATTGGGTCTTGAGGGAGATCGACGCATAATCCACAAGGGCGTTCCGTAGGCAGTTGGCTGTTGAACAGCAAGCACCAAAAAAGGAGAAATAATAATGTATTTCTAAATTTATTTATGCTTTGTTTATGGGTTTATTAACAAGGTTGCTTTTGATGGAGCGTCAAAGCACGCAAACGTCTCGACGAACCGCTGCGGCCGACTGCTCAGGGGCCCCAAACGATCGGCGTCGTTGAGTACAGCAGATACACCTCTTCGCAGCATGCACCCTTAAAAAACACCAAACACCAGGAGGAGAAAAGACTAAAGTAAAACAATAGTTATAATTATAATAGGCTTAAGAAGGGGATCTCTAGAAGGGTTACCCCATGCTTGGGGGGCCCCTAGCTGCTGCCGTGGGCAGTCGTAGGCTGAGAGAGCAGACGACGCTGCTGCAGCTCCTCCCCAGCAACTGTGCAGCAAATTTGCTCCGTATAAAGACAAACGGAGGCCTCTTCTGCTGTTCATGCAGAGGCAGCAGGAGACCTGGAGACGCCTGACGGATGACTGAAGAGGGCCTAGAGCCACCAGGCCTCCGATGTTATTATCGCAAGACGAAGGTGAGAGGACTATACACATGCAACACATACGGCCTAAGCGGTAGCTGGATCTTCATCTCCTGCTGCGCCTGCTACTGCTGCTCTCCTGCTTCGCTGCTGCAGCTGTCGCCCTTGCGGCGGGGGCCTCGACTGGTATCATAGCGGATCTCATTCTCTTCCCTCTCGATTTTCTAAAGACCCATGCACAGGGCAATAACATCCCACCCATCCCCCCGGCAGCAGCGCCAGCAGGTCTTGCTGCTGCGGCGTCCGCTGCAGCTCCTGCTGCTGCTACCGTTACTTCTGCAGCAGCTGGATCTCCCCCGACCAGCAGCTCGCGTAGTGGGGCACATTTGGCCTCAGGCCGACCTCCTGCTGCTTCGAATGCTGCTGCTGTAACTTCTCGCGAGCAGATAGGGTCTCGTTCCGGTGTACGATGTCGGGGGAGGCGGAGGGCGCTGAGCAGTTGTTACGGCGGGATTGCAGCTCTGGCTATGGGCAGCATGCCGTCTTCTGCAGGTTTCTTTGTGGTGTATGAGATGGCGAAAGAGAAGTTGAAACGCCTGAGTATGTGGAGGGAGTGGAGGGGGCATCACAAGGCCTCCTGCTGTTATTAGTGATGGTGCAGCAGGTGTAGATGCAGCAGCTCCTGCTGCTATTGTTGGTGCAGTTGCTGCGGATGTTCTGTCTGCAGTCAAACCTGTGTCTACTGAAATTCTCGTGTGAAACTACATTAGCTTGCTACTGCTTCTGACTTTTGCTGCGCTGTGGCGTTCTTACCTCGCTATAGATACCGACGCGCCGCTGGCATCAATGCACATCGCCGCAGCAGCCGTAGCGGAGTCGAGCGCCTGTGTCATTCGGTGAGTGCCCAAGGACAGAAGATAGGGGGGGATAGGGAGGTCGCACTGTACTCAAAAGCAAAGATAATGGAGTTGGTGACATTATCTGGTATTCACGTTAATGGTGCTGTGTGGTCGATTTGAGTCAAATTTATAAGGATTCTACAGGGGGTTGGGAAGGAGTTGTCGTGGGCTGGGATGGGTTCGGATGGCTTGGCTTTGGTGAACTGCCGTTTTTTTAGGGTGCACAGACCTGAGCTCAGGCGTGCGTACACCGCAACTTTGGCCTCCTGAGAGAGCGTTGTGTTATTGGGCGCTTGAGTTGCACAGGGGTGTCGTCGCCCTTGGCAGGGAGCAGCTGAGCGGTTGACTGCTCTTAGCTGTGGGTGGACTGTTCTGCTGCTACTGTTTTTGCCCTTGCATGCAGAAATCCATTTGAGGTGGTCAAGCAGCAGGTGCAGTTGGGCCTGCATGCATCGACCGCTGAGGGTTTTTCGGCTGTCTGGCGGTTGGAGGGAATGCGCGGCTTCTTCGTGGGGCTCGGCACTTCAATGCTGCGGGATGTACCGTTTGCTGCAATGCAGCTTTCTTTGTGGGAGTGGTTTAAGCTAAAAGCGTTAGGTGGGTCGCTTCTCTTCTAGATAATTATATATATAAATATATAATATATGTGTGTGTATGGATGTGTTTTTTTCTTGTTGAACATGTGGATGCAAGTACATATGTACGTATTTCAATGCACATTAAAAGCATCGTACAGGTTTGCCTCACGTTATGTGCGGCAGCTCGTGTAAGATCGTCCACGTCGGTACTTATGAACGCATATTTATATACGTATGGCTCAATAAATTTATTTGATTCGAAAGGCTTATGGTTGTTTTGTCTGCCTGCACAGGGGAAAATCCTCCTTCTACCAGCGTCACGACTGTGGTATCTGGGGCGTCAGGAATGGTTGCAGGTTCGTGTGGCGTGTTTTTAACTGTCAGCTCAGGCATGTTGAGTTTCTTTTTGTTAGCTCAGTGTGTCAAGACACCGGAGTATTTGCTCAGTTGTGCTGAGCCTCTGCCTTCTGAGGAAGCATTGTGATCCTGTGAGGGTTATTTCGTTGGTGCAGGAGCCGTTGCCGCCGTAGTGACAACTCCGATGGACGTCGTGAAAACGCGTCTAATGACCCAAACTCCAGGAACGCGTGAAGTGAGTTCCTCGACGCAGGAGCTGCATGCAACTGTTCAGGCGGAGGAAGCCTTTACGGGTGTTGCTATGAAGTAGGCGGCTCTGTCTGCATGCAGCAGAGGTGGTTCTTCGTGTGTTGTGTTGTGCGGTGGGTTAACTGTTTAGTACAGGGGCTTCTTTCACTGCCTGAGCACAATGCTGCGGCGAGAGGGTTTCAGGTCTTTGTTCTTGGGGGTTCAGATGAGGTGTCTGTGGGTAGCGCTGGGGGGCGGCATTTTCCTGGGAGGATATGACGCGTTTAGCGGCTACTATCGTCATCTGTTTAAACGAAATAATCTTTTTGAGCCCCAGTGCTGCACCAACTGCTGCCAGCCAGCAGAGTAGGTGGCTCCTGCGCCTTGACTTGCAGCTAAAGCGCAGTGCAGACTGCATCACCAGCAGCACAAACTAAAAAATAAAACGAACCAGATGAGTTGTGACTGAGCGAAATCGCTGCTATTCAATTCACTGCAAAGCAGAAAACAACTGTACGCTACCCCTTAAACGAATGCACACCAGAGTTTTCCTGCCAAATTGAATGGATGTAGTCCATGAATTAGCTCAGTTTAATTCGCTTGACTGCCGCTTACAACACTAGCGCCCAGATGCACTGTTAGAACAGCTTCTCCGCTGCTGCCAGCGGCTGGACGCGTCTAGCACTCAGTTGTATAGACGAGTTTACTTGAAAGCATTTAAACAATTTAACTTAAAGACTTGTCGAGCAACGTTTGGGAGACAAAAAATGCCAACTGCTCGGCAGTGAGCCTGCGCTCGTTTTGTTGCAGTCGAATTACAGCAGATCAAAAATTATTTCCGATTGCATTTGCACGCTAGGGGCCAGCCATAGCTCGGCTTAGTTCACATGCAACAGAAAAGCCGCTGCAGATTGCCGGCACCTTAGCTAAGGTGTAGCACAGGGATGCAGCGGCACGCAACACGCAAGCAAACAAAGAGCTCATTAATCTACATATGGTTCGTCATCCTGGTCGACGTCTACCTGGGGGGGCATGTCGGGGAAGATGGGCAGGAGCATCGCTGGATGCGTGAGTGCCACAGCTTCAGCAAGCAGTCTTGCGTTGGGGTCGGCTTGAGTCAGGCCCAAGATCAGATCCTTCATTTCCGCAGGCATGCAGCTGATGCAGTTGGCGAAGTTGAGGGCTCCTGAAGAATCGAGGGATAGTTGAGAGCACCAGAAGGTAAACAGAGTCATCCCCAGCTGCCATGCGTCCTGAGAGGGAAGCGCCGTCATGCTGGCGTACGCCGCGTTGTCTCTCAACTCAGGAGGCAAGAAGACAGGAGTCGTTAAGGTGAACTTGTAGTTCTCGACCAAAGAGGCGTCTTTTTGCGTGGCCTGAAACAACCCGCCGAGGAAGACAATTCCTTTCTCCGTCACCAGAAACGATGCGGGGTTTATGTTGGTGTGCACCATCAGAAGGCAATTCAAGTTGGCCACCGCTCGCACCGCTTGCTGAGACAGACTCAGCAGCGCCCTGTAAGATCTCTTGCCAGTGCCTGCATTCGCCAGTACCGTCTCTGCAGTAGCTCGAATCAAAGGCCGCCGGGAAATAGCGTTTAAAAAGACCTGGCCGTCGGGAGCCTGAACGAAGGTGCTGAGGCTGGTGAACTCGTACAAGTCAATGGGAATGTCGAGGCGCAGAGTGTGGCGAAAGTTGGCTAGAGGTTCGCCTGCAGGAGCCAGTTTTGCAATTGCGAAGTCCCTGTCTAGAGCCTGTAAAGCAGAAAACTGGCCCTGAACCTCCGTATACATCCGCCCGATCCACTGCCGCTGCAGCGGCTGCTGCTCCTGAAACAGCTTGTCTTGTACCAATAAGTCAACGAAGCGTTCTTGGTTTTGCAGCACCATGAGAAACGTCGCCTCTCTCGTCTCGTACCCGTTAGAAAGCAACACAGGTTGATCGACACCTTGCGGCATGAAGCCTCCGAGAATGTCGACTAAACGCGACACTTTGTTGGTGAGCCACCAGCCCGCTCTGTTTTTGCTTAAGACTTGAGCCAGGTATCTCTGCCCGGGCTCCTCTGAGTACCGAGATTTCTTGCCCATCCCTCCTAAAGTCTCCGTAGATGCACTGAAACCGGTGTACTTACTGTTCCCCCCATAGGTGTTGTAGCCTGCATACCCCTCGGCCGGGACAGAGGCAAAGCTCGCAGCGGATGGATAGTTGGAGTACAGAGGGAAAGCACTTGCATAGGGAGTGCCGTTGTATCCCGCTGCGTTTGCGTACTTCGCATACTTCTTCAAGCCCATGTACATCTTCATGCTTTTGAGCGTCTGCATGATGCCACCACCTATAGCTCCGTCAAGGCCGATGCCTTCGGCCGCCATCGGAGCAGCAGCAACAGCGGGGACCGCCATTGCAGCGTAGGGTACAGCCAATGCAGCAGAGGGTACAGCCATTGCAGCAGAGGGCACAGCCATTGCAGCAGAAGGTATAGCCATTGCAGCAGAAGGTACAGCCACGGGTGTAGAAGTTACAGCCATATTAGTTGAAGAGCGACCAACCACTTTAGTAGTGGGCATTGCATATGAAGCAGTGGATACTGAATATGAAGAAGTGGGTACTTCATATGAAGCCGAGGGTACGGCGTATGAAGCCGTGGGTACTGAATATGAGGCCGTGGGTACTGAATATGAAGCTGTCTGTACTGCATATGAAGCCGTGGGTACTGCATATGAAGCCGAGGGTACTGCATATGAAGCCGTGGGTACTGCATATGAAGCCGTGGGTACTGCATATGAAGCCGTCGGGACTGCATATGAAGCCGTGGGTACTGCATATGAAGCCGTGGGTACTGCATATGAAGCCGTCGGTACTGCAAATGCGGCAGGAGATACGGGCATTGAAGCGGGGGGTATCATCCCCCTGTTATACTTTCTCTTCTTCCAGCCGCCCTGTCCAGTCACGGCATTGGGGTCCTCTCCGCCAGCAAGTTCCTTTTCGCCGAGTTCGCGCTGCGCTGTAGCTCGTAGAGAGGGTGTAGAGGCGTCAGTTGAACCTTCACGAAGGATGCGTCCCTGGCTTTCAAGCCCAACCTCGTTCATGTTCGTGCTTTCCTCTTCCTGTTCCTTCTCGGTCTTTTCCAGCTGCGAATGTGAATCCGCAGACGACTCCACTTCACTGGTGACGACGGCCAGGGTAGGAGACGTAGAAAGAGTGACCAAAACCGAGAGAAGATGTAGCAAGATAAGCGCCGCGAGAGGCTGCCTCCCTCTGCAAGCCATCATCATGTTTGGATTTCGGTGCGCCGATAGCACTTTCGGTATACGTGACAGTTTATGTATTTGCCGGTTGGGCTGTTGAAAAGGTGCGATGCTTTGAGATACAATGCAGAAGAACAAATGACCAACAGAGTAAAACTGCTTAAAACACAGCTGAAGGAGCCGCGGACATCAGTTCTGCGATCGCTAGAAACAGTACAAGGTCTCGAGGGCGCGAGACGATCGAGACAAGGTCGCACCAAAATAAATTCTCGAAAAGCAACTCAAAAGTGCTCAATAGGCAAAAGGACATATTCAAATTCAAAGAATGCTTAGAGTCTTGTTGTAAAACAATAGATCTGATGCAACTAGCTGCCGGTTGCGGGCCTGCAGCTTGGCAGTCAGCCAAGCGCGCGCAGTTGGCAGCGGGGCGAAAACGACCGAGTGACCGCGAGACACTTTTGCTTGTGCCGTCCAGTTCCTTCTTGTTCTAATATTGCGAATATCAACTTAAAAAGATAAACAATACTATTTCTGTTGATTTCATGCTCGACATGCATATTTCACGCGGACATCCATGCGACGACAGTTCCACTTCGCAGACAACAAGCGTGACCTTGTCTGGCCTGTGGACAGCCAGCTATCCACGCAAAACAGAGTCTAGGTCCTAACATTTTGAGCTGCAAATGTCTTAATCCTACGTCCAAATTAATGTTTAAGGGAATATAATGTCAATCCGGCAGTAAGGATTGTCAGTTGCTGTGTCAATTTTCGTTCTTCGTGGTTTCCACCGTACCGAGCGGTCACGACCGTGCCTTTCAACGCTCACCAACCGTCCATCCCTGACTCGACAAAGTGAAAATACGATAGAATTCGTAGCATAGTGGCTCTGTTAATATGATGTGCTGTAACCGACGATATACGCTGTGTTCGCTCTCTCCGTTTCGACCGCACTCCCCACTAGAGAAACCGAGGGTCCGGAAAAGTAGCTGGAATGAAAGTTCGGCGCTAAGTGAACTAAAATGTGCACAACTACCCTTCACAGTTGCTTCTCAACCCTCAATATCGAGCTGTACTTAGAGGCGGCCCAGCAGCGGGCCTCCCTCCGCCTCCCAAGCGGGCTGTTCTTGGTAGCCTGCATTAAATTTCGACGCAAAAAGAGAATGCTTGCTACTAAACGACGGTCTCTACTAACTAGCCTGAATTGACGCTGTTGTTGTCACGACCTTCTTCCGTTGTACGTCTGATTAGAATCAGGTCTTGGAATTGGCTCTAACCTGTCTCAGCCAGGTTTCAGGTTTAGAGTTTCCGCTGGGGCCTCCTTTCTTTAAAGTTTAGAATTAAGGCGCCCACCGAAGGTATGCTCATTCAAAGTACGTCTCTGGCGTCCAACACAAACCGACGACTATGTACGCGCCGCTGCAACGGGTAACAACGCATGCGGGGCTGCGCCACGCTTTCGTCTTAGCTGCTTGCGTCCTATCAGAGTATAGTAATCCGCAGCCCTTCCCCCGCGGGGGACTTAAAAGAATGCTGGTCATCCTCGCTTCGTGGACTGTCTGCTTCACCGTCAGCATCCTTTATTCGTCTCCCCAACGCTTCCGCCGTGTCTGTCTCCCAAAGGCTCCGTTGCCTTGGCGAGATATCTCGCAGGCTGTCTTCAGTCATTGGCAGCTGCTCTGCCGTCTCGCTGACAGCTACTTCAACTGGAGAGAACGGGTATTCAATCAGCGGAGGAGCGCACCCCACATTATCGCCTGTGTCTGGCGCTGGAGATACGAATGGAGCCTTGTCGGGGCGCATGCGAGAATCGTTGGTCCCCTTGACTCCTGGCGAGAACCCGCTCTGAGCTGCTGCGAAGAACTCGCCCAGTTTTGCTGCAGTCGACTGTCTGGGGCGTTCAGCAGCTGCTAAAGCTTCTGTTGTCTCGGGGGGCGCCGCTGCGCTGCTTGGGGTGCTGTCTCCCGCGAAGAAGGAGGTAATGTTTGACGCAATACCCGAGGCGAGCCCTGAGTTGTTCAAATACTGAGACACGGCGCTGGCTCCTCTGTAGGCGTGCTCCACGCCAACCCCTGCCAGTCGTTTGAGATGTCCAAGAGCAGCATCTGGGCCCTCCCCAGCGTCTTTATCTCCCTTACTTGCACTTCCCTCCCCCCGCAGCGAATGAGGCAAAAGTATACCCTTCTTCCAGGTCCTCTCTCCCAGGGCCTCTGTGACTCCTCCGTCCGGTCTTACGGTTTCGCTGGGCACGGCGCCCAGGCCTTCATTCAAACTCAGCGCCGCAATAGCCCGCGATATCGGTTTAAACAGAGAATCCGACACCTGCTGCAGAGGATCAAGCTCGTCCAGACCCTCCCTGCTCCTTCGACCGCCCCCAGGCACAGGCCGAGGCACCCCACACGCCGGAGTGCGGTTCCCTTCTACGTCGTCCGCGCTGCAAACCGGTCACAAAAAAGGTCTCTAAAGCTCATCAAAAGAAAATAACCTCAGCAGGGAAATCCCAATGAGCCCCTCAAGCGATACGCAGATGTACCAGCAACAACTCAGAGGCGAGGATGATCTACGCCGCCTACCGGAGTCGCATGGCGGAGCTCAGCAAAGCCTTCGGGTCAAACGAGGGGAGATGCTGCAGCAGCTTCATGCAAGCTGTGAAGTCCCCAGCCAAGAGGGCTGGCCTGAGCTGCAGCAGCAACCGGAGACCGTTCACCAGCCCACATGCGAAGTACGTTAAGGAGAACAACACTCGTGACCCGAGATAAGCACATCGCACGCATGCAAATGGAGCATTTCGCCCTCGCCCTCAACCCACCCAGATGATTATCGCGACGCAAACATAATACAGCAACGGTAAAGGCCTTCCTGTATCTGCTATGAAGCCGTCCCACAGAGCCAACACATCAGGCATTTCGAACTCCTGCAGAAACAAGGCAAGCCCACGGCCCTCCCCAAAACCTTCAAAACCTCCCTGGCCATGCGCCGCATAGACAGCTGCTTTGGTTATCGACACTAACCGCTTCATTTAAGATTGCTCTATGTACACTATTCAGACAATACATGGAGGATCCGCAGTGCGTACACGGGTTAAAGCAGACACGACAGAAACGAAGCCATGCCCTCGACCCTCAGCCCCAAGGAATGGCGTCGAATCTTACTTGGGTCAGCATCAGCAGCAGCCACCGCAAGGCATAGAACTGCGGCTCGACGCCAACTGCGTTGAGATGCACCCAAACTTCTTCATCCTGCAAAGAGCACACCCGCGGCGTGACCCATCGCAGACGCAAAGCTAAGTGCCAGGGCAGGCGCCCTTCCCCATACAGCAAGCAGCTCAACGCTACAGTTGCAGTGCTGGACTGAGCTGCTTGCTGTTGCTGCAGCAATGAGGCCCCCTGCACTTCACTCCTAAAACCACCCCCCATGCCTAGCTAAGCCCGTGGCGGTGGTCCGTCTCCGCACCTTCTGCCTCAGAAGAGCATCTAAGCTTGATAGACGACCTTTCACGCCAGCGTCCGTGGGGTCGAGGGCTTTGCAGAAGGCATCCCGTTGTTGCTGCATGACTTCGCTAAAGCAGTAAAAGATTTCTGCCTCTGCCTGAAAACGCAAGGCGAAGAGAACATAGAACGGAGCTTCTTAACCCAAACCTCTCCCGCCCAGATGCAAGCCCTCCACCCCGCAGTGGCTTTTCTTTTTCGCCGGCCTCAGCTGTCCTCAACAACAGACCCTGAGCCGTGAGCTTCAAGCTCTAAAGCTCAAAGTAGCGAAGCAACCGCCTGTTTAATCAGGAGCGATGCGTTTTACGCCGGTTGTTGTGATAAGGCTCTGCTAACCGCCGCACCTGTTCATAGTCTGTGTAGGTGGGATCGGTCATTAGTGCATAATAAATGGGGGCCAGGATTTCGTTCATGCCTTGGACATAGCACAGGCCTGCGTTGACTTTGGCGTAAATAAACAACAAGCGCGACAACACGTCGTAATGACGGTGCGGGGTTATCATGTTGCACACATCCTGCACTCCCGCAGGCGCCCGCCAAGGCTGCACAGTATCCCCCCCCTTCCTTTGCTGCTCAGCTGCAGCAACACCACTGCCACCTTCTGTAGCGTCTGTAGCAGCTGCAGCGCAGTCCTCAAGGTACTCGCTAGGAAGCGGGAAGCCCGGCTCCTTTCCAGCCGCCCTGGCGACAACGGCCGCTTCCGCATCCGCATCCACAGCAGCAGGATCAGTTGCTGCTGCGGGAAGGCTTTGGAGCAGTTGCCTTCCCTTTTCAGCTTCTTGAAAAGACGTCATTGAAGACCTCTGACTCACCGCCTGTCCCCGCAATGGGGGAGAGTCCGACTCGTGAGAGCCCCTGGAGGACAGACGTGGGTCTTGAGGCGAGCTGCTGCTTTTGCTGCTGCCCCTGCTATTCGTGCTGGCATTTCTGACTCCCGCCTTGTTTTGGGCGGGATCCAGTTGTCTATCGAGCAAATAACCTTCTTGCTCTACTGCTACAGAGGTCTCCAGCGCATCCGCTGCGCAAAGGAACTGTCTGCTGCTGCTGCAGCCAGATCGACTGGAGCTACCGTGCAGCTCGCTGCTACCCCCTTCCAGCAAACACTCCGAGGAAGACGATGGAAATATCATCTTATCGTCGCCGTCCCCCGATTTCGCCCCGACCTTAACACTCTGCTGTCGTGTGCTGCAGCCGCCCCTTCCTGCTGCTTGCAACGATGGGCTGCCGCGGCGACTGACACCGCTTCCGCCGCAGGCTGCCGGACCCCTGCTGCTTCCACTGCTGCTGCTCCGCGCACTTTCATTCGGCGGAGTCGCTGAGGCGGTGTCAGCCACGAGCCGTTTCTTGGCACGAAATGCAGAGGGGAGGCGGAAGCCCTTGAGAGAAGAAGACGAAGTATTACCGCTGCTGCTGCTGCCCTGCTTGCGGCCCGCGCGTGTACCTTCGCCGGCAGGGTTAGAGGAAGCACTGGATTGCCGCTGTTCGTGCTGCTGCTGCTGCTGCAGTAGGACATCGTAGTTGACTAGAAGAGGAACCTGCTCATTCTGCTGCTGCTGCTGGGGCTGCGCGTGTCGCGTAGGCGGCGGCGGGTAGAGATGGAGCTGCTGCTGTCGCGTGACAGTTTGCTGCGGATTGAGGGCAAAGAAGCACAACTCCGGCCGTGTCCTGAAGACATCCTTGTTAATCTGATCAAAGACTTCGGCGTCCACCCAGTAGCCGCGCCACTCGCTGGTCGCGCTGCGACACAGAGGCTGAGTAACAAAGACAGCGGCAGCAAGCAGCAAACCCTCCTCAACACACCCGAAACCTTTAGCCGTTCACTAGTCAGAGGCTCTCTGAAGTCCCCAGGTCATCAAGCGCCTGCCTTCTGAAGAAGGAATAGCAATCAAAAGCTATAAGAGAAGCTGAAGATGCACGAATGCTGTTCCAGGTGGCCTAGGGGATGCAAGGGGGGTTCCAAGGCTCACGTGGTCCTTAACAGCTGAGAGAGGAATGGAGGAGTCCGACTGGTGGCGGGTGCCTTCTGTGGAAGATCCACAGCTGGAAGTTTGCCTGTCACGCGACGCTGTTGTGTTGCCCTCATCAACAGCCGTAGACAGCTTGTCTTTGGCTTCGTCTGCTCCATCCTTTCCATCCTGCTGCTGCTGGTTCCGCTGTTGCTCCTGTTGCTGTTGCTGCATGCGCCGCAAGCGACGCACTGCCTCGGGCTCCCGAATGAACTCTGCCTTGTACGATTCGTACGCCTCCCTGAGGCCGGCCCCAGCCCACACGCACAGAGCCAGCAATTTTAGCACGTGTAGAGAGGATCATCTGTGTATGTATACAAGGTTTTGCACCATTGCATTTACAAACGCATGCATTGGCTCAAAGGTCTAGTGACTAAAGAAGATGCGACTCATGCGATGCTTGTGGAAATGAGCTGAAAACCCCCACCTTAGTTTGCACCGGCGTTGCTGCCATTCAGCCGGCCGGGGGGGCAGACAGTGGAGGAGAAGACGCCAGTATATCGACCGCAGCGCAGCACAGCCCTCAGGCAGCCCCTTAGCGCAGATCACTCGCAGCAGCTGCAGGTCCAGCGTCTCGGGCTCGAGGGCGTCCAGGCACGCCTCAAGGCTGCACCCAAAACAAGAGCCAAGACCCCAGCAGCAGCTGCAGCAACAACAACCAACTGGACTTATCCATCAACGCACATATACAACAACCACTGAGCAGCGTACAGACAGATACTGGCGCCCCCACGAGCGCCCCAGGATGCAACAATGAGAAGGCACGGGCTATTCAAGCCCGGCGGATTATAACAGGACTGCACAAGCAGGCGGCGCGTTAAAGAGGAGCAAGCGGGAAGTCGTCTGCATAAAAATAAACAAATGACTAAATAAACGCAACACGCAGAAAAGAACATTCAGAGCTGCATAGTACCGGCTGCGCGTCCTGGCGTTCACTTCCCGGTCCATCAGCAGCTCCACATGGCGACGCAAGGCCTTCATAGATTCTTCCCCCGAAGGGATGCCGTAGCGTGTGGTCTGCCCGTTGTCACTGTCTCTGCTAGTGCCGCTGCTGCTGGTATTGCTACTGCTGCTGTTGCAATTGCCGCTGTTGCTGTTGCTGCTGCCAGAGCTGCTGCCGCTGCTGATATCGTCTTTGCTGCTGTTGTTGTTGCTGAGGTTGCTTTCCCCGTCGCAGCTCTTCGCTGTTGAAGGAACCGACAACGACTCCGTTGCTGCTGAAGGCAGGGGCAGTACGCTGCCGCTGCCGCCGCTCGTGTCGGTACTATCCTTTTCGTTCTTGCTGCTGCTGTTGCTGCGGCTGTGCCTCTCTTGCGGTGTTGAAGGGCAAGGGCTGCGTTGCCATTCTGCCGAAGTCGGCAGGTCGGGGCTTTTCTGCCCGAGGAGCTGCGCCGGGGGCCTCCTAGAGCTGCCCTCTGTCACTGTGTGCGCGTTTGTTATCGATGGGCATACTTGGGTGATTTCCCCCACATCTTTTGCTGCCAATGTATCATTGGCGGTTGCAGCCCCGGCAGCAGCATTTCGTGGAGATGTAGCATCGGGTGCAGCAATGGTGGGAGAGGGGGTTAAGGAAGCCCTAGTGTCCTGGCTCGCCATGGGATGTGTCGTTTGCGCCTTGCGCCGTCCGTTCTACTCCGCTTGACCTCTTGAGACGATTCCTTTTCCTTAACATATGCGTCACGCTTCAGGTCATTACCAGGATCTCGCGCAGTAGCACTCGGAAAGCAGAAGCTACAGCTGGTGGACACCCTCCTCGAGGGGGGTACGTCCCGGTTACAGCGCAAGATTGCTCTTGCTGCTGCTGCTGCTGCTGCTGCAGAGCCCGCGGTAAAACTACCGCTGCAGCTGAAGTTGCAGCAGCAGCCGCCGTTGTTGCGTTCTTAGCGCAGTTCTGGCCAGGTGATCCGGAAGACGAAATGGAACGAGTTGGCAGCTGCAGCTGCTGCAGCGCCTTTAGGCGAGAACAAGGGCCAGTGCATGCACGTAATTCTTGGAGGTAGAAGTTCAATTAAGCTACGTAGGCGGAGCTGGGGCAGACGACGGCGGTTCAGCAGCGTCGCTTGCTGCCCAGGGCCTTGAGGCGGGCGGATGCTCTGTCCCACACGCTGTCACTGCAGCTTTCCTCTTGCTCGGTAATGGTTTGTTAAAACCTGTGCTATTTTCGTTCATATAAATAATTTGCAGCCAAATTTTTTGATCGCTTCGGAGGAAACACAGGGCCGTCGCCCTTGCAAGTGTAATCAGGGTGGCGTCGCTTCCCGATCAAAGAAGCTGCAGATGATAAGTATGTCCGGAGGATAAAAGACTGAAACACATAGACGGGTTTTAACTGTAAATACTGGATATCAAAGAATTTTAAAAGTCCCAAGGCCATCTCCCTCTGACGTTGTTCCGGTCTCTGCACACAACTTGCAGGTATGAGCATCCTGCGTTTCTCCACATATGGCGCCTGTGCGTACACCTTAGAGGCCTTGCTGCTGAATAACGGCCCAAAATGTTTAAAGGAAGCTAACTGTAGCCGAGGCGTTCCACCCCGAAGGACCCACGAAGTATTTACGTTTCGTATGTCGGGGTGGAAACGCAAGCCAGTCGACGTCTAGCTGGGCAACAAATTATCTCATCAATTGCAGCATTATTTTGAGCATTAATACCCGTACGTTAACTTGAGTATATATATATATATATATGTGTGTGTACATTACGGTTGAGGCGCCATCAACTACAACGGAACATGGCGAACTCCCAAGATGAGCAAGTTCAACAGAGGATCAGGTGGTTGTTACACGCCAACATTGACGTTGTTGGGAATATTGCTTGAGTTCAGCAGAAGCGAAGAAAGAAGAGCTAGAGAATGAGACAGGAATGAAGGATAAAAGTGTAGTGAAGCGCGAATTGTGCAAGGGTGCGAAACATTCAAAAAGAGTGAACCGAGATTACCCCGGCCTGTTGTGAACTAGGAGGGTCATTCGCGTTAGCCGAACACCGTTGTGAGCTGCCCTCCTCCCTGCTTCTGGGCGTCCTGGGCGCCGGATCAGCAATGCCATGGGAGGTTGTGGAATAGAGTAGGCCCCTCTTCTGAACTGCACCCCTTGCTGCTGTACCCCCTTACGCAACGGGGATTCTACATACATGCGCACCCAAGCACCCTTTCTGCTCACATGTCCACACATTCTTGCGCACCCAAGCACCCTTTCTGCGCACATGTCCACACATTCTTGCGCACCCAACCACCCGAATCCACATACTTCTTTGCACGTATAGTAGAGTACCATGCATTGTACATACAGACGAGGTGGACCGGATCGCTCCGTTTGCATTGCTTACACTTCTACACACACACTTGGTACGCCTGCAGCAAAAGGATGCTCGCACGGGTTTTTGTTTTACCTAATTATTGCCTCGTCCCCACAAATTGCTCCTCGGCAAATAACTAAACGGTTTTCTTCACAGCAAGCAAATATCGCAGACAGTCCACAGGGTTGCTGTGCAGACGAAACCGCAGGGCCGGCGTAGAGTTGGTGCGTAAGTCACCGCTGAACTCAGAAAGGATAGAGAAATGGAGAGCATGTTGCAATAGCTCACTCCACTGTCCTGCTGCTTCAAGTTTCAAATGCCTGCCTCCGAAGCAATGTGAGACAACTTTCAGGTGTCTTGAATAACGTCGGCTTGGGCTAATGGCAGACGCGGAACGACACAAGATGGTGTGCAATCCGTACCCCGCCTGGGTAGATATATGGAGCATGCAGCCTCAGCTCCTGGTAATATGGCGGAACCCACGTTGCCGTCGGACCGCACTGGGACCGAGCCCTTTGCTTTTTCCTGGAGTGTCTCAAGGCGGCAATAATTGCTCAGCAACGTTCGAGTGGCAGCCACTCATGTCGGGATGCGCACGAACTAATTCCTCCTCTGAATACGAGGATATTGTCAGGGCAAAGTTAATCGCTTGGCATTCTTGCAGTGCCCCAGTCAAACGTAAAGCCTTCTCTATGCCGTAAATCAGCTCCTGCCCTGACCGTGCACCACAGAGCAGGCGATGTAGTGTTTTAGTCCGCAACTTACTACAACTGCGCGGGCTGTTCAGGGAGTCGCAGTCGGCGGCCTTGATGAATTGCAAGGGAGTCATTTCCTGCAGTCCTTGCTATGCGCCAGGTAGGAAACCGAAGCATGCGTGGCTTCAACTCAGTGCAGTTGCCAATCCAGTTGCCGTTGATAGCACGAGGAGAGGTGATGCTTGCTGAATAGCCTTCCCGTTGCAACCTTATGGCCATTTTGGCCGCTGTGAAACCGCCGCCCTCATACTGGGGGCCGCCCTTGCCCCAGTTTTCTCACGCCTTCAACTTGTACGAACTTGAATTTTGGTCTGCGGAAGACAGTGGTTAAATCCGTGCATCCTGTATGAGTGAACTGGGTTATTGCTAGTCCTTCCTACCCCAAGGGTTAGGCCGAGTTCACGGCTGTCATCGTCGTCGCGTTTATGGTACAAGTGGCATTAGGTCCGATACGGCATTTCGACTCACTTCATGGACCAATACCGAGTGAGCCCATAACGCGGGATGTTCGTATTAAGTGAGGTGTTCATATTTAAACTCGAGTAAAGCACAAGCACCGGCGGACAGCGAATTAACCTTAGGGCAGTTCTGGACAAGTCGCAGACGGGGAAGGTCAGAAGAGGAACTTCAGGCATTGTATGAGGTGGAAAGGATGAAAAACATGCAGAGAAACAAAATTAGATAAAGACAACAAGCATCTGCGCGTAGCTGGTGGCGATAGAGTCACCTCAGTAGATGAATAATGAGCGTTTAACTCAGACAAGTCAAGCTAGTGCTGGCCCATTACTAAAGAGTGTTGTTGTTCGCATGCAATGCCAAATATTTGCCCGGAGAGCTGCAAAGGATCGACGGCCTCACAGGAGTGAACATCACCTGCATCGGGGGCCGCCACCGGTCGAGATTAGACCAACCACTGGGGGCCCTCTACCTAGTACACGCTAGGGAGGCCCTGATGTGCACTAAACTTACTGCACATCCTAGTGCAAACGCTTTGCATCATAATACCATTTGTATCGAGAAGTTTTCCGAATGTTGTTTAACGGCAGTTGGGACTGTTGCAGCTTGCGTGTGCCTAGGGCGCTTTGTTCCCTTACCAGTAGCAGTACGATACGCCACACATTTTGCAGCAGTCTAAAAGCCGGCGTCGCGTTCTTTCATTAAATAGGTATTTCTTCAGACTAACTACGGCTTTTAGGCTTCTTGGAGGTGCAGATCTCAACTATCATTTCCCCCTCCTTCCGACCAGCTTCCGATCCGAGAAGCAGGGGGCTGGACGTGAGGCGAGGTGTGTTCTGGCGGCTTTGCTCATTAATAGACTCACTTTGTGGCTTTTATTTATGAGGGGCAGCGGAGTCGGTAGACGGATGCAACTCTGGCTGGCTACAGGGTCCTTCTCGGCCTCCGATCGCATGGGCATCGCAGCGTAGAAACAAGCGACTCGGACGAAAACGCAGCTAACTGGCGCAGTCTTAATCTTCAGAAGGAATACAGTCTAAGAGGAAATACATCCAGTCAAACGGCATCCTAAAGCTGAGTCCTAGTGGTAGTACCAATGACAGCGACGGCAACAACGAGTACTTGACGTGCTCCAGCTGCAACTGCAACAACTGATACGCTCATCACAACAGCAACAAATAACTAGGCAACAACAACAATCGCGGCCAACACCAAAAACGTATGTTCTCGCGATGCTGGCTAGCACGCTCCCTCATCTGCCTGAGCGACCGCCGAGTAAATCCGTGAGGGGTTGTGGCCAGGAGTGACGGCGGCACCACGAAGGCTTTTGGTGGCAAGATGGAGAACTGGAACAGGAAATGGAGGGTACGATGCAATGACAGCACTGTATCTCAAACCTTAGGCTTAAGTGTACTTCAGGGCTGCCGAATGTCGTTCGTAATTGAAAACCCTTCGGCAGGAGGGGTGGACCGCAGAAGGGGAATTTGCAAATGAGCTTCAGTAGATCTCTATTTGCAGCATATATATCTCTAACTTGCCTATAATGAAGCAATATAGATCCATGCTGGTGTTTCCCCCTCTCGAAGGACAACCGGCACGAGTAGTGTTATGTGAAGTGTTATTCTGCCGCAGACGCTCTGGTGCTGGTCGAATGTCTACTTGGGATGGAAGGTAGCGCAGGCGCGCAGCCGCGCACTGCCCCAGGACAAGCAAGCAGCGTACTGGGAGCAACGGCACGAGCACTTTGCGAACCTTGTGTGGGACAACATCAAGGAGCTAAAAGGTAAGTAGGGGAATGGTGCAGACCCGCTGTGAATTCACTGGGAGGTGTGCAGCAGCGACATGTGCGGCACAAGGACAGAGCTAGTGTGAGTTACCCAAGCGTGCTGTATCTATTCTACGCTTCGTTTCAGAGCAGTTGCGCCTTCCTGTGTTCGAGTCAGGCACTCTGCAGATTTGCTTTCCGTGCGTGGGCACTTGATATGTGCTCTGCTGTGCTGGGACTGCAAAAATCTGCAGGCTGGTGGGTAAAGGTCGGGCAGTTCCTGAGCACGAGGAGCGATTTGCTGCCTCAGCAGTACATCCACCATTTAATCAAACTCCAAGATATGATGCCGACGACACCATACGCAGTCATTGAGAAGACCTTGCAGACAGAATTGGGTAAGGCGCGGGTAGTACGGACGAATCTCGTGCCTAGTGCCTATCTGACATGGCAGTCATTGGGGCGTTATGCAACTAGGTGCTGCAGACGAAATGTAACCTGGGAAACACGTCTACGTTGATAACTCAAGAGCAGTAGATTCCTAGAACTAGGCACATGCTGGCGACTGCATGGAAACCGGTGCTGCCGCGAACTTCTCAGGGGACTTGAGTCAAATCTTCTCGAAGATTGAGGAGAAGCCTCTGGCTTCTGCAAGCATTGGCCAGGTGCACCGCGCGTGGCTGACAGATGGTACCGCGGTAGTGGTTAAGGTTCAGCATGCGGACGTCGAATCTCTTTTAATGCACGACATGGCCAACCTTAAACAGTTGTCGTGGGGTGAGCTAGGGCGCGGCAGGACATTCTTCGCTGCCGTCCTCCTGCTTTGGACTTCCTTTCAGTCGAAGGAGTATTCAGGAGCAGACAGTTACAGATAGGCACACGGAGACAAAAGGCAGGCAGAGACAAAATTTAGAAGCTTTTGGCTGGGGTGTGCTTCTGCATGGACGCCTTAGTCATTGTGGGTTTGGATTCTGCACAGCCTTCGGAATGCTCGAACAGGGCATGAACTTCGCGCCTATTTTAGAGGAATGGCAGAAGGCGGCGAGCAAAGAATTGGATTTCAGATTTGAATATGCACACCAGACGAGGGCATACGAAGCAGCGCAGGTAGGGGACATACGCACGGGAGAAAGAATGAAAACAGTTTAGAGTGCACCTCACTAGCAGGCAAGCAAATATATAGTAGCATTGCGAGTGCGCCTATAGGGGCACTTAGAAGGGATAATCTTTATGGGCTTTATGGGGGGGGGGATAAGATTATCAGTAGTCCAGAAGTCTGTGGCACCACTCAACTTCGAGGCAGTTAGCAATATTCATCCTCTGCCTACTGAAGTCGGACGCAATGTTCGTGTAGCATGATTCCTTGGTCCTGGCAGCGCTCCGGAATCGGCGTGATCATCCCAAAGTGCTACCAGAATTTGGTGACAAAGTCCGTTATGGTGATGGAGTTCATAGATGGCTTCAAGGTTACTGACGTCGCGAAGCTTGACGTGAGCTGAACTCTGTTTCACCCTGAACTGTGTAGTATGACGAAGTGCCAGTGGGGTTAGGGTCCTTTCGCTCCAGTATATATATATATATATATATGGTCGTTCACGTGTGAGTACATGCACATTTTGTTCACATTTGCAGGCTCACTGATGCTTCCCGTTTGTGTTCGGGGTTGGAGGCGTAGGAATAACGCGCGGGTTTATGGGAGTGTATGTGTCGAATGAGTGACTTTCGCAGCAATACGGCATAGACAGGAGGGAGCTCATGTACAAACTGTGCGACAGCTTTGCCTACCAAATTCACATTGATGGGCTGTTCAATGGTGATCCTCATCCGGGAAACATCCTGGTCTCCGTCGATCCTGTAACGAGAGAGGCGAAACCTGTTATTCTTGACTGGGGACTTGTGAAGGAATTTGACTCGAAGGGGCAGACGGCCTTCTCTAAACTTGTACGCGCCCGTTGCCCTCTCTGCATCAGCATGTCCCTTCGCAAACCCCTTGGGCTCTACTTTTGCGGAGGCGGATTTTTTGTGTGCATGCTTCAGGTGTACTCTGTCGCATCAATGGATGTGATGGGCCTGATGGAGGCCTTCGAACACATGGGCTTCATGTTCAAGGAGGGGAAGGGGGCCGTAGTAGACCCAGAAATCTACATGGAGGCCTTGCGAGTAGCCTTCAGGGTAATTCCCCCGCATTTTAAACGGGAGGAACGGGAGAGAGAGGAGTTATCCGCACTTATTCAGAGGGTTAGCTATTTGAAGGTGTTGATAGGTGTATCTGTGTGTGGCGCGTGTATCAGCAAGGGGAAGTCGAGAAGAACGAGACCGAGGCTCTTCACAAGGCGGCGGGGGAAACGGTCCAGGCTGCCGTCAAGGCTGGCATTACTCGCAAGAAGATCCAAGAGGGTACGAATATGAATGGTAACTGCAGGCTGCCATTCTCTGTCGGCAGGCGTGGCTTTAAGGTGGTTCTTTCGCCGCGTTTCATTGAGAATAGCCTGCACTGCTTTTGCAAGACTGAGAGCCTGCTGACGAGGATTTGGGATGAACTGATGAATCATTGAGGTGGAAAGGTGCAAGATTGTCTTTGCTCAGGCAGGAGGATCTGTGTGCTGCTTGCGTTGCTTGCCGGTCGTCGCAGCAAATCCGCTCGAGGACTGGCCGAAAGACATTATATTTTTCGTGCGCGTCGCGTCACTCCTTCACGGCCTCTGCGTTCAGTTGAAGGTGCACATTCCCTTCTTGCAGATAATGGTTCGTCGGGCGCAGGAGTGTCTGTTCAATCGTTATCAGCCTCCTAGCCCTCTTATATACACTCACTTCCTGGGAGGCAGGGGAGCTGCCAAGTGGTGCGCCAGACACTTAATGGATGCATGCCAGCCTTGCCTATTACTACACATGCACTGCTGAATACCACGGCAGGAGCGGAAATACTGCCGCCTTTTGCCAACTTATTCTTCCGCTGTGCATGCAACACGCTAACGTATATGTATGTTCTGAATTTCACCGCTGCCTCCGGGATTCTGGCCTACTTCCCTGTGCTGTTACTTGGTGGAACTACTTGCGGACATATGTCTCTGTATGCAGTTCGCTTCACCAGCGATTGAATCGGTTGCTACAGAGCCTGGTGGAGAGGAAGTTGGTTCTTGGATGCCAAGTGGCGGTTTGCTACGAAGGAGAAATGATAGTCGACGCAGCCATTGGCCAGATGGGACCTGTAGATACGCGCCCGGTTACCCCAGACTCTCTATTTTGCGGCTACTGCACTGCGAAAGGTGACATAGAACACACATTCTTTTCTGACGGGCGTTATAGCTTCGGGATCGAGAGGCCAAGCAATGTATTCTTTCATCCGCGCAAGAGGAGCATCTCATCTGACAGCAGCTGTGCAACACACGTAACAGTGAGACAGGACAGTTAGTAGGGCGGATAGATGATGGGTTGAATGATATTGTGTCTGCGCGTTGTGTGGTGCTGCAGGGCTGTTAAGTACGGCCTTGCTACACCTCGTGAGCAGCGGGGAACTGGAGCTCGATGATGCGGTATCGAGTTGGTGGGACGGATTTATTCGATATGGGAAGCGGGCCATAACTGTGCAGCAGTTACTCACGCACCGCGCAGGTCTGCATCGAGCATTGCCCGCAGATCTTACCCTCTCCAGACTCGCCGACTACAGCGAGATGGTCCGCATAGTGGAGGACGCAGCACCCGCCTCTCCGCCTGGGGCTTCGGGAAGATACGCCTACCTAACTTACGGGTGGGCGGTCAGTGAGTTGGTGCGCTGCGTCTCGGGCATGTCGATAGACGCCTTTGTACAGGAACGTTTGTTAGAGCCTTTAGGACTCAAGGGTGAGATTTTCATCCGCGTGCCCCAACAGTCCGAGCAGTCCGTATCGGCTGACCGAGCACCACAGACATCTGCAGGCGCAGCAGGAGACAGCAACAAGTCGATTCCAATAGTTAAGGCGACTGGTGCCCTCAGCAGCCCCAAAGTAAGACAAAGAAGCACTGACAGTATGCGGATGGTTTCTAGTAGCCAGCAGGCCCTGCATGTGTCTTCTACTTTGGAGCTCCGGCACTCTTCCCTCTCGAAAGAAAGGGGGCTGTCTCCTCTATCTGATAAGATGGCTGCAGCAGCGCTTTCTGGAACCAATACCGCTGCTGCTAACTCGGGGTGCTCACGCTCAAAGACGCTGGAGTCCTTGAGTTCCTCGCAAGACGTACTCTCGACGACCCATGCAGGCAACGGCGCAGATGGCGGATCTCAACAGCACTTAGCAAGCGACAGACGCCACTCGTTTTTGCTTTCTGGCCCTCAGATTTCACTCAGGGATGGTCATGACGCAGCTTACTGCGGGGAAGCACGGGGACGAAGTAATGCACGGAGTAACCTCACCAGCAGCGCCTCATCTCGTGGTCCACAGCTTGTGTCGACCCAAAAGATGGAGGAACCCTCATCGGATAGAGAAAGCAGTAGAGATCGCTCCGTCCTTAGTCCTTCACTGGAACACAGAGTGGCGCCAAGTGATCCCTCAGCTTCTTGGCGGCATCTAGAAGCAGATGACGGGGCCTCTGACCGAAGCAAATGCAGCAGCAGCAGTAAGTGTAGTGCACCTCTACAAGGGAGTTCACAGAGTGCGGAGAAGGGGCAGCTTTCTGTCTTCCCGAAGGAAGTCGAGATAGTCACAGCGGACACTCCCCTGCTGTGGCGGTTGACCTCCGCGCGCAGAAAGATATCCTTCAACCCCATGACCCAGCAAGAGGTGCTGCAGCGCCTCAAGCAAACGCAGGGTAAGTTGGAGGGAGCAAATAGTCAGGCAGGTGGGGGGATTCCGAGCTCAGGTGACAACGAAACTAGACGCCACATTGCTTCGGCGATGAGGCGGCGCCGTCGCCAGCTCATAAACATGAAGGGCAACTCAGGGCCCCTCGAGCATGTTCGGGAGGTGCAAATGTGCAACGCGCGCAGCGCGGAGAGCCTGCCGGATGTATTTTTGCGCACAAGAGCTGTGCGACAAGTTGAGGAGGACCAGCAGAAATCAGAGGAAGAGGGAGGTTTGTCTCAAAGCGACGCCTTCACGGAGGGGCTTAGAACCCCTGACTCAGACTCCGACAACCCAAGCATAGCACCGAAAGCCCCGGGCACAGCTCCGCGAGTGTCAGTGCTTGAGTTGATACGAACGAAGCCGCACGTCATGGACCCGCTCATCTACGACAGCCACCGCATTGTGCACCAGCTGATTCCTCCCAGCAACTGCCGCTGCACCGCGAGAGCCCTTGCCCGGTTTTACGCCGCCCTAGGGGAAGGCCAAATCATCAGCAAGCCTCTTCTTGACGCTGCGCGCGTTGCCCATACTGTTGACCCCACTCTGGAGGCGCTTCTGCTGACGGGAGGAGGCAGCAGAACTTGGGGGTTGGGTTATCAGCTGTACGACTGCGTCTACTTGTCGCCTCCTGGCTGGAGTGGGATCCGGCCTGGGCAAGGCACCCACACGGGCGCTGCCCTTTTGCATAGCCGCATATCAAGTGTAGGTGACTTCGTTCCAAGGCGAAACAGACGCTCACGAGACAACAGCATCTTCGCTTTCTCGGGGGCAGGCAGCGGTCCTGGTCAGCACACGGATGTGGAAGCGCTTCTGCGTGATAGGGGCCTGTCTTCTTCACATCCTTGGGGAGCGACTCTCGGCATCAAGCCTGGCGGAGTTGTTGGCCTTGGACATGGAGACGTTGGAGGCTCCGTGGCCGTTTGTTTCCCAGAAATGAATTTGTCCATCAGTATACTTCTCAACGATGTCCTCACCGGACCAGAGGTGCGCAACATGATATTCAAGTGTGCGTTTATAGTATTTGTGTTGTTGGCGGAGCTGTTCAGTTGCCCCCGAAACAGTCTTCCTCAAACTCAGTCTTCGTGCTGGCTATCCGGCTTGTCGGGGGAGTTTGGTATTAAAGTTTGTTTTGACTTGGGTGTTTGCTGTGCATCTCTTCAGGCATCGCAGATCATTCTCGAGTTTCTACTGAGGTGTTTTGGCTTGCAGCCAAAGTGGCAGACACATGTCAGCATCAACGAAGTGCTGGAAAATTTGACGCCTCTACCAACGCAGTCTCAGTAAACCTGTGAATTGCTAGAAGCTTGCAGTTGCAGTTACGGGGCATCCATACATATGTCTACCTCGTATACAGGAACGCAGTTAAGCGCCTGCAATGGCTGACGACAGCAGGCCAGACAAACGCTTGGGAAGGGGTTTCAACTCAAAGGCCAACCCTTCAGTATTGTACAATGTTGTGGCGTAGAACCACTCTTGCTGTACAATGGGGGCAGCATACACTCATATATGAATCCTCGTCGTTGTGTAGCTTTTCTTGGGCTCGGTTGGAAGCTAGTTCTTTTGAAGAGCCCACCTGCTGTCTAGTTCGCTTCGTTCAGTGAAGGCGTTAGGCAGCACGAAAGTGGGTAGGGCCGAGCCCGGGCCTAGGTGCGGTGACACAGCCACTATGTGAAGGCCTACAAGTATGTTGCAGCTGTTGCGCATACGCAAGGCCGATGCTTTTTACGTGCGAAGGTCGTCACATCTGTAGCAAAGCGACCAGCCGAAAAGCAGTATAGAGTCTTCGTACAGTTAGCCACTGTCCTCTAAAAAGCGGCAGTTGAGCCTCAAGAGTTCCCCATCACCAACACTATTGAAATTCCCCGCGGAGTACTTATTTTCACAAAGCATGTGCAAAACAGGCAAAGTAACAACAGCAGCAATAGTACGTCAACCACCTGACTTTTCGCCCGGACCACCGGACCCACCATTCCTTAAGGGTACTGTACGACCTCTACAATGAATGGGAGAGGCCTCTTTGTTTGCTGCCGTCTAGGGTCGCCGATACAGAGCAGGGATTCCCATGAATATTGCCCCGAATTCTTGTGTCTAGTAGCCTGTGGGATGGGAGCGCGACAGCATCTTTCAAGGTGTCTTAACAAGCATTACTAGTTTTTGTTTGCCGTCCTTTTTGCATGGATAGAAGACCTGCCGATGCGTCAGCAGTGAGTTTAGAGACAGAGATGCTACTGGCGAGATTTCATACGTTAGCCGCTCCCTAGAGCAACGCTACTTGCACATTAACTCCCTGCTGCAGCAACAATGCCATTGCTGTAGAGAGGAGTTAGGGCGCAAAGCCGTCAAAGCGGTCACACGTTTGTCATATTGGGCTATATTTAGGAACATCGCCAGCTGTGCGTCATTTTCTTTGTGCTGTACAGCGGGGAACTTGCAGCATTCTATTAGTCTGCATTTTTACCCTGTAGCCTTATGGCCAATGCCTGCCGTTACCTCAATATTACTCAACCCTTCGCTAATTCGTGTATGGCCTATCGATCGTGTAGGGGGAGTTGCTGCTGGTGCTGAAAACCAAGAAACTCGGCACCGCCTACCCTTCCGTCTGGTATCAGTGACGCCATCGGCAAGCCGCTGCTCCTGCATGTAGTGCTCATGTCTTATTTGTTCCTTCTAGTATCTAATCTTGCCGCGTTCCCGGTGCAGTGTAGAACTGGCGCTCATATCTTCTGCATCTCGTTTCAGTCGCTACGATGCCCCCCAACCTGAATAGGCGCGGCGGGCCCGCGAGCGCTGCGAGCCTCACTTAAGTGAACGGTTTTGTTCGCGTCTCGGAAAGTTCCCACGAGGCCTCGTGAACTCACAGGCCATATTTAGGCCCTTGCTTTCCTGGGGAAGGAGGACGGAGGTGGGAAGCAGCAGCCTAGATCATCAGCCATGGGGAAACCACAGATATTAGGGCTTGCAGTCTATTCCACCGATAGTCCTAGATGAAGTTCGACGGTAATGGTAGAGGCATTAGCGCGGTGCCAGTGTAGCCACCTCTTCGATGTTTGTAGATGTCCTACTTCTGACAGCGGAACAGGCGTTAAAGGATTGACTACGGTGTCGTTGCATGTATGGGAGGGGGTGTTCCGTATCCCTGCATGTGGTGGCGCTGCATCGCTGTAGGAGTAGCAACAAGTGCAAAGACTCAGCTATCTGCCTTCCCGCCTTCAGCGCCAGGCCTTCCGACTACTGTCCCGGACGCCTGAAGACTAAAGGAAATGTTCTCGCAGTCTTTTGGGGTGTATAATGTACAAATGTTTTAATTCTTCCGCAACCACCGGCGGCCTTCTTAAGTTAGGTCCGCCGGCTTACCATCCGACATCATCGGTGTTCGTATAGGGAACGATCGAAGTGCAAATCGCACGCGTGACCCATAAAGCACTACACATTTCTATAAGCATGAAGTCTACAAGAGCGCATTGCTTGCCATAAGCTGTTTTGGTGTGTGATGCTCTGCAACACTCCGAGACGCCGTCTCGCCCCACACAATACACAAAACCGGTAGCGTTTGCGTCTAGCGAGCATTGGGGCCATCCCCTCATGCGCGTATGATGCGACCGAGATTAAACAAAAACAAAGCTTCAGCTGCATGGTCTGCAATTCATGACGTGATAACACAAACTGAGATGGGTATAGTTAGGGGAGTCGGCATTACTCTGTGCAGACGGGCTTGTATGCAGCCCCAACTGATGCCAACAGTGTCTTGTTCCTGTTCGGCACAGGCCATTTGTTAGAGGCTTAGAAAATTGGACTCGTCCTTACGCAGAAATATCTCTATACAATTGTTTTCGATCTTTCCTCTAGATCTTGGACCTGTTGCAGTGCCCGGTTGTACTCCGTGTCTGCTGCTCATCTCGATCTGAGAACATAAACGGAGAACGACTGTACACAGTTCGGTTTGAATCGATTGTTATATTGTTTAGGCTTGTTTTTTGTCCTTAGCTGATTGTGTGTCCCCGGGAAGACGCCTCCTGTGAACGCCTGTCACCACCCCCGACGATGTCTTCGGCGGCCGTCGGCGCAGTCGCCATGGCCATTTCCGCCCATTTATGTGACTGATGCTTCTTACTTTCCTTAGTTGTGCCTGCTGATTTGGTTCCTTCTGTTTCCCAGCAGCTAGTCTGGGAAGGAATGGCCAGAGTTGACCCATTCTAAGCACGCCAAACACTGGTGCCGGCTTTCTAGACGGACGGCTGCCTAAGGTCCTGTACCCTTCAGATCGGGCTCAAGAAGCCACTCGGTGTTAGACCCTGTCTTGGAAGGACTATAGAAGACGCCAAGAGTGACGAACCGGCAAAATGTATGGCGAGAGCGTCGCCGCCGCCTGCCCAAAGGCGAGTCTTTCAGCAAAAGCTGCACTGCAGACGGCTTCACGAACACCTCGTGGGACTCCATCTTAACCATTGCAAATGTTGATACGCTTTTCGTTAGGCCTTACGCGTTGCTTTACAGGCACCAGTCAGCGCACAAAAATGCCGCGCGCACATGGCCCTAGTTGGGGCCTTTCTGATTCATCTGACTCTCGGTAAGAGCATGGATTGTCTGGCTTACAAGGTCTAGGGTCCGTAGTGCAGTTCGAATTTGTTGTTTACTTAGCTGAAAGTGCTTTTGCAGGTTTTTGCTTAACGGCTGGGGAGTAAACAACAAGCACAGCCGGGCCGCGAATACGCAGGGCTGGAGAACGCATTGTTGCAGTTGCTGTTGGCCACTTGCTGGGTGGTTTTTCAGGCAGTTTGCACGCCTTCGGGAATATAGCGCCTCTGATCATCGCGTACATGCGGCTGCTACAGCCGACTACGTCGCTTCGTTACCACGTAAAGCGTGCAGAGGCCCGAGCGAGAAAGACCTACTTATGCAGTTTAGCGTTGTGCTGTGCTGGGCGGACTATTCGGAAACTATGAATTCTTCTCTCTCCTCCATGCGCAATGAAGAGGATGCAAGCACCAACTCCTGTCTGTGGCATCCCTCTTTCAGTTTGTTCAGCCTCTTGTTGTTCCCAGGATGGTCTGATCCTCTACGTCTCGGCTGTACTTGTGCAAGGCATTGCGGGCTTCTTCGGGGGGAGGCTCCACAGAGTTCTGGGCCCCTCAAAGTGCGCTCAATACACTTTAGGCTTCAGTGATAAGTGCCGCATTTACCAGCGTTACAGTGACAGTCCATGAGTGTTTGTCTTTCTGATGATGGAGGCTAGACGCAACGCATGCACTCACTTCATCATGTATAGTCATACTGTAGTATTATTCCTTTTTTGCATGCATTAGTCGCCATTGTGTTGACTTTCAGAAGCTTACGCAGGGTGCCTAAAGGCGAGTTGCAGTTATACTCTGCGCTGGCGGTGCGCTTGGGCTGCTGCAGGGCAACTCTTTTGGGGGGATCTGTGATGAGCATTGGCCTCGTCATGTCTGCTTTGACACTGCACAGTTGTTTTCTCTTTTGGTGAGACGCTTGGCCTTCCTATTTACGGTGGTTTGCCGGCGTTGGTTCATCTGAGGGCGCCTCAGCATCAGGCGCCTCAGCATCTTCGAAACCTGAATTCGCGAGGTAGTAGTAGTATTAGTAGTACGACTACTACTACTTTAGGATTTTAAATTCAGGAGTAGTGTGGGTGTTATGGTTTTTTTTGCGCTGCACAGCCTCTCCTTCGGCGTCGTCACGGCAATAGGAAGCGGCCTCTGCTACCCTGTGCCACTGACCTGCGCCCTCCAGTGGCAGCCCGATAAAAAGGGGACAGTGAGTATTAGCCTCGCTTCTTCTGAGGAAAGCTAGCGTGGGAATACTCTGCACCAAAGATTGTGCACATGGACAGCTGCTGAGGGTTTACACACACAATGAATTCGACGTGTTCTTTACTCCCACCGCACCACATGCGTTCACCACAACTGCAGATTGACTGGCATCAGCGGGGTCCTTTGTTGTTGGACTTGGGCGTGTGCTTGCAGGTTAGTTGCGTGATCTTTCTTGGCCGCAGTTTGTCCGTTTGTCTGCTGTGTCCAATGCACTCTTTGTTTCTCTTCCGCACCAGTCAGCACTCATTGTTGACATTTGTTTCGCCACTAGCAGGAGCAGATGGGACTTCGGGTGAGCGGTGAATGGGCTCTGCAACTCATTATGCATTCCGTCAGTCCAAGCAGTGTTCTTGGTTGGAGGCCTTTGCTGTAGAACTATATGTAAGCCTTCGAGTATGGACCTTGCGTGTCTGAACTGTTAACAGCAGCCCCGGAGGTCTACGTTTCTGACACGGAGGTGCTGCAGCGGCTTCCGGCCCTCTTCTTGCTGATGGCTGGGGGATGCCTAGCACTGCAGGTATGCGCAATTGCCCAGCCCTGAGTGTTTTGACAGGGGGCTGGGGACAACTACCATCTTGCTGTGCTCGCAGCCTCAACAATATCATGTTTAATTATTGCTGCCGCTGCTGTCACCTCAAAGGTGTAGCCAGCCAACGCTCTTCTGCCGTTAGTGCAGATACAGGCCAAACACTGCCTTTCTTTGCTGCTGCTTCTGATCCTTTGAGGCAGGCAGTGGGAGCGGCGCTGCTTTCCGACCCGCCTCCTCTACCGATGGACTCACACGAACGGCGGAAGCTGATCGAAGAAATCCGCTGTGCGTTTTCCGTGCTGTTTTGCTGTTCCCTGCGGCAGCGCTTTCTAGATTTTACTTAAGTTGCATCTGGGACGTGCCTCAGTCCCATATTAGGAGCCGAAAGTTTGCTTTATCCACAAAAATAGATTTGCGCTCATTATATATGGTCTACCCTCCTCTACCGCCGTTTGATATTCACAGCGACCTGCGGCTTTTCTCTGGAAGTGCTTGCGCCTTCCTAGAGCGTAGACCCTAGAAACCAAAGAGTACTTTTGGGGTGCTTTTTGTTTGGGTACTCGCAGCACCGTCACCTTCGACAGCGGCATCTTTGCTCTCCTCATTCGTCCTGACTCCGCAGGATCTGTGCAGCTCTCCATCGTTTTGGTTGTTATTTATGATGCTCTTCTTCTCGTGGCAATCTGTATTGGTGGCTGCGTACATGTGGAAGATAGTGCCTTTCGCGTTTATTCACAAGGTGCCGCCCAGCGCGTATATGGACACTGCAGAGCGCAACCTCTTGCCGGCGACCTCCTCCGCCGATGGCATCCGGAGCTGGCAGGCTGTCACAGATTTGCAGCTGAGTACCATCGGCGCAGTTGCGGGGGCGTTGTGTGTCGCTGGACGGTTGGTCTGGGGTTATATCGGCAACAAGGCCGGCAACAAACGAGCAATAGTAAGCACGGTGTGCGCACCTAGGGCCTGTGAGCAACCAGGGGCTGCATAGGCACCCGCTGCTGCTGCCTGTATTGCATCGCATTAAGTCTAATGCATGTTATTCTGCATATTAGCATGAATCTGTGTATGGTGGCTCTCTTACTGACGTCCATGAGCAGCGGTATGACGTCTCAATGCATGATATTCTACAGATTATTATGAATCTCTGCATGGCGGCCCTCTTAATGACGTTCATGAGCAGCAGCATGACTTCTCCGAGGAACTTCGCTGTCTGGTGGGTCAAACTTGCACGCCGTAGACTCTATTTGAACTCGTGAGAACCATTTTGGGGAGAGCAGTCCATGCATGCATGTGTGCGTGCACTGCTTTTGTGGCAGGCTGGCACTACTTAACGCTTGCCACGGGGGGCTATTTTCGTTGCTGCCGTCATTGACTTCGGATTTATTTGGACACAAGAACTTCGGGCCGGTATTTTCGCTCCTCTTCGCTGCAAGACTTTGCGCCGCCGCCTGCATTTGCGTCCTGACGAAGGTGCGGCTCCACCTTAGGCCGAACCCAGAGATCTATCTAGAACGGTGGACCCTGAAGGCAGCAACGCTTTTCCACTCCTCATTCTCCACCCCTCTAGTCATGCAGCGCCACCTACGCACAAATATGCCTGCCAGCCATGCTGTTTGGAGAGCACGGAAAGTTGGGTCTGCATGCTGCAGGGTGGTCGGCACCCACTTGACCTTCGCCGATAACATTGGCGAGGCACAGGACCTTCAGCGAAGCGGTGCGTCTGCGTCTGCTACTGCAGGTAGTTCTTGAGCTTACAGACGGTGTGACGCTCTGCATGACGTTGGCTGGATGCCATGTGTTGTGGTGAGCCCAAAACACTCCCATCTCCAAATTTGTCAGCTGCCTGCCGCCTAACATCTTTTTGTTGCTCACTGGTGGCTAAATGCATTCGGGAGTTTAGGGTTAAGGCTCCAGAGTTTCAGGTTTTCAGTATTGCAGTTGGGTTGCTTTTGCTGCTGTTCGTAGTGCGGGCTTGGCTCTCGCCTTCCACCCAACTGAAGCGCTGCCTAATCCATACAAGCTGGTGATGACCTGAAGGCTGAAATCGCGCGTCGCCTATTGCTCGACGTGGAACTGCCTCATGAACAGGCGCTTCACGGGTTGGTGCACCGTCCTGCGTACACTGAAGCAGCGCATGGGCATCTATGTGAATAATAACATGCACGTAAACATGCACGCGCTTGTATAGCGCGTACAGCTTATCGTGAACTTGCTCATACAAGGGTGAAGCATGTGTTACCTTGGGCCGAGGCCAGCCAGCCCCAGACTATGCATTTTCCTGCGTTTCGGGTGCTTCGGCCCATCTCACTGGTTTGACTGCGAAAAATACTTTTCTGGAGGACGTTTTGCTTTCATTCCCCGGCGGTGTAGCACAGGGCGTGTGCAACAATACCCATTAAATCACAGCAATTGAAAGCCTTACAGCACTGGACGCAGTAGGCTGATGGGTTGTCGGGCAGCTTTGTTGGAGATGTTGCACTTGCAGTGACTTGCTCATTAGAAGGAACCGTTGCAGAGTACGAACCTCCGTAGAGGCGAAGACATGAGGTTGACGCTGCACTTAGGAGGCAGCAGTGCTGCGGCAGCAACGGCTTGTTGATGGTCCCCACGCACTTGACATGAAGCCGACAGAAGCAAAGTTACGTTTCCAAGCAACGGATATTATGCATGAATAGTTATATCTTTTGTTTCAGATACGTTTCTCTCTGTGCGGCTGAAGCCGAATTCGATTGGTCTACAAATGATGCTGACAGGGTCTTCCTCACTTGTAAGCATTTTAGTGTTGGCAGTGAGTAGAACAGCTATTGTATGCGTTTTTACAGTACAACAGCTATACTTAGGTTGTGTCATTTCTTCTAGAGATTTGTCTCTCCGTGATACAGCAACCGATTGGCACATGGGATGTGGCGCCAGTGCCGGCAAATTTTTTATGGAGCAGCGGTACTCAGACAGCACAGATAACAGGTTTCTGCCTTTTGGCATATGGTAACTAAGAGGCATATAAAACATGCTGCAACGCTGGCTTCAGGATCTGTTGGCGGCCCCACATGTTGGTTAGTTGACTTCGTTGTTCCGAGCCCCGCTGCGTCTGTGGCGCATCCTGTACAAGCAACAGGGTATTCGTTGTCTTTCTTTTCGTTCTGGGTTTTCACCCTGAAGAGACTCAGAGGTATCTTGGGCCAAGTGTTGCTGGCTGGTCTGTGCATGGTTGAGTGCTACGCACGGATTATCTTTAGCTGGTTGACATTGTGCCCCCCAATCTCTCAATTGGTTGTGTTTGCTGGAGAATGTCAAAAATAAGCTCATCCCCCATCCCTTAAGCCTGCTGAAGCTCCAGCAGCATCTGGCTATGCGCTACTGTACTCCTTCATCTTCGCTCTAGCGAGGGTCACCTGGTATCCCAGTTCTGCTGTACTGAAATGCGCCTTGGGCACTCCCGTAGGTTCAATGCTTGATGAATTTGTCCTAATAAAACGACTAGTAAAACGTATTATGTACTTTTGCCATTGAAGGTAGGGTGCACTATCTGTTGCAGAGCGTGTATGCAGGTCACTAACTCGCCAACTAACGCTCAGGTGTGATTGTGATGAACCCAAACTGCAGTCAATAATCTTTCTTTAAAAGGACGTTCGGCTGAAATATATCAATGATTTCTTTATAAACAAAGACTCAAACATGACGAACACGCTCAAGGGACTGTGAAGGACTGTCTGCATTTATGACTGTTGCACTGTCGAGCAGACAGACCACTGGCTTACCGCCCCAAGCGCTCAAGTGCGAGCTGCTCTTTGGTCTCCTTCCTCCTCATATAGCCTCAAAACAAAATAGAAATGCTGTTTAAAATCAATTCTTTCTGAAGGGTGGATAAAGCAAGGGGCTTGAGTGCTCGGTGAGCCATGGCTTGCGTGTCGGCAGCGGGCATCTGGGCTGCTGCAGCTGGCTGGTCTCCGAGTGCTTGTGCGGAAGATGCTCATCGAGCACTTACGTACATGTTTATATCTGTCTGCTATTCACTATACTGCAAAGTGGTCCCAATCAATTTTTCCGAACAACTCGAATCTTCATTGTTATGGTCAAGAAGATGAGGTTTTTGTGCGCTGGAGCAGCAGTGCTCGCCGTGAGCGCCGTCACTGCGAATCTTCAGCCACAGGCGAGAACAACCAACAGTTTTCTCTTGCTTGGTTCCCATCAGAGCCAGCGCTTGACTAGTAACCAATTTGTTGGGGATAAAGGACGCAGACGAACAGTACTTAATGCTCGTGTCGATGAAGCTGGCGAAGATGCTACGGAGGGCAGCAAAGGGCCATCGATAGACACACAAGTTGAATTTGAAATCTCTCCTTACGGGTTTTCAGACTTCTATGAAACTCTCCGAGCGGACGCCTATGGTATTGCCCCCGCTGGGGAGGTGCCATACGACTCGCTAGCGGAAGAGCAAAATGAGTTTCATGAGGAAACCAGCAGCAGCGACCTCGCCTCCCTCGCCCAATTGCATGATTTCTCGCCTCCTGGTTCGGGCCAACGGAAAAGTGGGGGCGCTGAGCAGACGAGCAGCGCAATGTCGGTATTGAGGGCACTTAGCCGCCCATTTGTGGCCATCGGTTCAGCTGCGTTGAAGGCAACTCGTGAGTTGCGCAAGTATCTCAGCAACCCGAAGCTGTCTTGTTCTCTCGAGGTGCAGGACACGAAGATCGGAGGCAATGGGTCGCCCATCGTGGCCAAGGCCATTTCCCGTTTAGGTCGCGTGCGAAAGACTAGCTTTTTGGATAAGGTGAACCAAGAGTTGGAGTTGTTTTTCCCCATTAACGAAGAAATCGAGTACGACTGCGTGGACTTCAGCCAAAAAATAGTCCTTAAAAGAGGATATCCCTTGGGGGCTGGCGCCTTTGGGTTTGTTGTTCCCTTCACCAGTAGCCACGGCGCGCAATACGCAGGAAAACTGTTTCAAATCGGGCGAACAGAAAAGCACACAATGAACAACGTGCGTAAGCAGCTTAATATATTAAGCTACCTGCCTTCAGACATGGACGCAGCGACAGCTTCCCACAGGCTCCGTCTCGCCTTTCCCCTCTGCATCGTCGTGAAGCGCTGGACCTCCACTGTCATGGAACTGCCCACCAGGGGGAAACTCCTAAATGCAATCGTGTTGTACCCGTTGCTCCGAGGGGATTTGTCATATTTGACTGCTTCTCTGCTGCCTACGCGAGATGAAGATCGGAATGTTCTCTTGAGCCTCACGCAGCAGGTTGTGCGGGCAGTGAACGATCTGCACAAACTTCGTTTGGTTCACCTCGACATCAAGCTGCAGAATTTCCTCGTGACCGAAAAAGGAAGCGTACTGACGGGGGACCTGGATGGCGTAAAGCCATTTGGATCACCTGTAGTGCCTATCATGTTTACTGCGGCCTTGGCTGCTCCTGAGGTGGCGAGAATCGTTCTGCAGAAAGACAGAACGGCTGGGGCAGAGCCTACTATGGACTCCTGGTCGCTCGGCATATCGATATACGGAATCTGGTGTGCAGGCTACCCATTTTCTCAAGAGTTCCGCAAGCTTCCCCCCGCTGAACAAATGGAAAGACTCCACAAGGAGCCATTTCAAACCATCGTATTCGATGAAGAATGTGCAGGAATCATGCCCCCGGAAGTGTTCAATCTTATTACCCAATTCCTCAAACCCGACCCCAAAGACCGTCTTACGCCGAAGCAAGCTCTCGCATCTCATCCTGCGATGGCGCTGCAGGTGCCGGGGGCAGAAGGCATGCAGACTGAAGTAGAAGAAACCTTGCCGCTCAAAGAACCGGAAGAAGAGCTGGAGCCACTCTCGGAAGCGTCAACGGCTTCTACAGAAGAAGCTGGTAGGCCCGCCAGCCTTTCGTCGAGCTACGTCTTCGTTAAGCGGCAGAAGGCGCCGGCAGCGCGCAGCTTTCAGCAACAGAGCGCTAGCATCTTCACCCCTACAAACAGTGGCGGCTACCGATTCGTTGGTAGCCACTTGCGGGAACCGAAACCCCTTGCAAACAGCCGTCAACAACAACAGCCGTCAGGAAGCCCGTAATTTTTTGCAGCAGCATGGCAACAACGACAAGCAACAACAATGAGTCCTTTGTCCAATCGTAAACTTTTTCGGTAGGGTGAAAGTTGAAGGTGTCAGGTGAAACTTTTGTCGGGTCGCTGCGACAAAGAAGACAATAGCGTTGAAGGCACAGCTGCCTTATGCTTCAACTTCCCCAACAGTGAGCGATATTTTTTATACTTTTTCTGGCGGAGATACTTCGCTATTGCCTTTTCGAATCGTTTTATTTGAAAGTGGTGCAAAAACTTTTGTCTCTTCGGAGCCGCAGATGGCTGACGTCTGTGTGATCAAACCAGTTAAACCAAACTAAATTTTTTCGCATTTTTATGCAGAAGAACAGAAAAATTCAGCTTTGCCTTTTCCATCCGCTTCAAACAAAAGGCAAGGCAAGCTGAAATATGTGGTGGATGCGGCTGTGCGGCTGTTTCCATCGCCGACGCAGGCGAGGCTACTGTAATACAGATTTGCTTGTTCTTGACCGTAGCTTAATACCTTCTAATACTGGCAATACACTTCCAGCGACTTTCGCAGTCATTCTCTTGTATGTCCCGCGTGCAAAGTCAAACAACCCCTTCTGTGCTGGGTACTCTACAGGTCAGATGTTGCATGGTCTGTATTAAGTTAGTATTGCATGCATCACTTGCAGAAGCTGTTAAATGAGGGCCAAGAGCCTGCTTAACAGTTGCGAATGGTATTAACGCATGCATCCAAAGAAGACTTGGACATGCTCGCAGGCGAAGTTGCTTTGTAGTAGGAGTTGCAACAAGGCGTGTTGCACTCTCATGCGTTATCAGCTTCTTAGGCTCCATACATGTGCTACGCAGCCTGAGAGCAAGCCGTCGCTCTGTCCCAGGGCTTGCATCTAGTAAAGTATATCCATATTCTCAGTGCCACAGGCTGACACCAAGCTATCACTACCAGCAGGCTCAGCTGGCATGCCCAAAGCCCGTTTCTGTATGATCATAGTTGGCCCCATACAGAAGAACCGCGCCAACAGACTGCACTTCGTATGCCTCGATCCCTCCTGTCCAAAATATTGTATCGTGCTACTAAGGAACTCTCTTGAGGCTGCAAGCCGAAGGGCTAATGCACGCGCGTACGTGTTTGCGAAGCCTCACCCTATATCGCGTCAACAACGGAGCCATAGCTGCCCCTTGTTTTTGATCTTACTCGGGATTGCATTCAGAGTATTCAGACTTGTCTTTTGCTGGGGGTGTAGAAAAATATTTGCTCTGATTCAAGCACGTCCGGTAGCAGTAAGCCACCATGGCCGCAGTTGCAACACGAGAACGTACGTAGCACGTGGTGTAAGGTTGGTCTGTTCAAAGGCAGAAGGATGTGCCTCCTACGACAGCCATTGATTGAGGGGCTGATGTGCGATGCGGCTCTTGGCAAGTCCCCGAGAAAAGCATGCCTCGGGGCCAACTACCTTCAATCCCACGCGGCTGCTTCATAAGTTCGTGCCAGGATCCGCTAACGAATTTGAAGTGCCTTTCTGTAGTAGTGGTAAGCACCACTACTACAGAAAGGCACTTCAAATTCGGAGAACCACTGAGCTTCCAGATGTGATCAATGAATAATTGGGCAACTCCCTCTGCAAGCGCAACTACCAGACGCTTCTGCTCTTCTTCCGTAAGATGGTGTGACCGGCAGACGATTATTAGGTGCTTTTTCGAGCTGTTAACTCGCTCAGGGAGCATCACCCCAAATGCTGTCTCGCTTGCGTCGGTTATTGGGAGGAAGGGTTTGCCGAAATCAGGGGGGCCCGAGCCTTAGGGACGATCTCAGGCGTCTGATGGGACTTCCGACGGCTTCGCCTTCCATCCAAATGAGCTGTTTGGACTTATGCAGACCCTCTAGTGGAGCGGAGATGCAAGCGAATCAGGAAATGCAGATGCGGTAGCACGACGCGAGATCGAGGAACTTTTGAACGCCCTTGCGAGCGCACAGGACTAGCGGCCATCACTGGAGGGCCTCTACCTCCGCTGGATTCGGTCCAGCAGCTGCTGCTGGCATACGAAATTCTGAGGATCCAGTTGTTTGCATGACAAACGGACACGTTCCACTGATCACTTTGGTTGTCCCGTCGCCAACGCTTCTCGATCTCATGCTTGTCGAATTACGTCACAGTTTTCATTCGTCTGCAGTCTGGAATTATTTGCTGCTATGCTCATTTAAAAAAAGTAAATGCGCGGCTCGGTACATCTCTCCTGCTGTTCGTGTGCCGACTTCCCCGGCTGTTGTGGGTTGTCCTTTTCCATCTGTTGTTGAGGAGGGCTGGCGCACACTTCCCGGACATCCGTAGACTCCGTGTCATGATCATTTTCTAAACCGGGAGTGCTCCTTCTCAGGAAGAAGATATGGAAGTGTCGCCCTTTTCCCTTCAATTTGATGGATACGTTATCCATCACATCTGCGAGGTCAATCCTTTCACCCCTCGGTTCCCCTTCCGCGGCCCACGCAGTTACACATTGCCCGTCTTCGTGGGACAGGGCTGCCGCGAGTAACGAATATATAAAGTTCTGAGTCCGTCACTGGACTTTTGCCCACCAAGGACTGATACTTCCCGATGTAGCACTCTCTCGACAGCTTCGCCTGTTTAAGTTTTCTCAGTTCTGCTATATTCTGTCTTCTTGCCTACCTGGGAATAAACCCCCAACATAAGGTCCAGCTGTGCTCGCGAACAGCGAAACCTTAGCTGAGATCTAACCACCAATTTCATGCATTTTCTTCTAATAACGAGAATGCAAATATCAACTGTAGCCCTTCGGGTGCATTTTGGAGACGGAAATACTGAACAAGAAGAGCGGGGAACAGTATGGACGAACGGCAGACGCATAAGCAATTTTCATGGGTGGTTTTTGTTGCTGAAACATGTTCCTCTGGGTGGGATGCAGGTACTGAGTTGGTTTCAACGGGACGACGCCATCAGCCGTTCGTCACTCCCTCATCAAAGTGCCTAGCCATATCAATCTCCACGAACTGCGGGGAAAAAAATGCCGAGGCATTGATGCAGATCTGGGGAGAGTATCCAACAATGTTTTTTCGTGAAGCATCTCGGTAGTAACTGCTATGTACCAAGCCGCTCTGCTGTGGCGGTGGCTTTCGCTGGGCACACCTGTCCCGAAGAAGCAAGCAATGCTACCAAGTGAAACTAGAGTTCGTGATCTTACTCGAGGATTGTCGTGAGTTGCAATCATGTCAAGGGCCCTACGTAAGAGTTTTCCAAAGACAACTGACCTCCCCTGATATGCCGAGGCATCCTTAGCGCAGCGGGCAAGCGCCTGAGCCTAGTGCGAAGACGGGCCGCGCGATGCACCACACCTAAATGCAACTTATGCTGCATGGCATCCCCACGTGCAAGCACAATCGAGCCATATTTGGTGCATGCACTAACACTGTAGGCAGTTGTTAAGCGCGTGCTTTGCACGTAGTAGGCAGCCTGCACTCCAGTAGACATGCACGCATCAACTTTGCATAGGGCTTGTACAAAGGTGGCACTTTGCTTTCATAACGACGAGGGACCGCCCACGCTACCAGGCACAGACATATCGTGTGTCTACAATCTGCAGAGGAGGAGCAGCTGCGCGTGTGTAACAACCATTGAGATTAGACAATGTTCAAAAGTCGCTGACGAGCAGCATATAACACTCATATAGTATTCCTTGCCGATTGTTCGTTACTTTCTCCCCAACATAATCAAACCATAAAGGAGATCCAGGCTCTCATCAGGGTTTTGTTCATTGAAAAGGGGGAAAACAGCAAAATTCAAGTACTCTGCATGAACACATGAATGCGCACTGCCCGCCTGCTGGCGGCGTTGCGTACTCGAGACTGCGGAACAGACACCTCTCCAGACAAGCTTAAGATATGTTTATTAATTTCATCATCTTTTTAAAAATAATTAATACACTATTGTCAAAGTTCCAAGCTTAAATTGACGACAAGGATCGGGGCTGCGTTCGGCGGCATGCACAGGCAGCAGAAGCGCAAGGACCCCGAAGGCCTGGAGGTAGCATGCGCCTAAATGTCGGTGCTTTGAGTGTTTTCTACTGTAAAATGGTCTTTTTTTTAATTTTGTTTTGTCAGGAATGCATCATAGCGGCTGATCTTCTCCTTTTTAAGCCGCTACCAGCCTTCGCCTTTAGTGTCCTCAACACCCCCACGAGCATCCAGACAGTGTAACCTGTTGGAGTTCCTCTCGTTGCATCCTATTTTCATTTGATTTTCTTTACGGCGATTTTCGTCTTTCTTCCTCTAGGACTCAGTGCAGCGCCACCTGACTGCAGCAGCAACAAAGGGAAACACGCATAAGGGAGAGAATTCTCAGCAGCAGGATAGGCTCTCCAAAGCCCCTTGAAGGCGCAGTACATCATGACAGAGCTTTTTGAAAAGCCAGAGATGCAGCGAGCTCGAGGCCTTCTGGAGAGGAGACAGTAGTCGGTATCGACTAGGTAACGAATCTGCTGCTGGCCATTAGACAGCTATCTAGACACCAGAACGCCGCATTCCTTTAATTCCCAGCGCCGCCGACAGCAGGCGCAGCAACAGGCATTACTTTTGTAGAAAGAGTGCTGAGTTGCGCTTGCTGCTGCAATGGGCTCGGGGGAGGCGTCGTCTGGGGGCCGCTGCAGCGGCTCCCACAGAAAGGACAAGCATTCGAGCAGCAGCAGCAGCAGCAGCAGCAGCAGCAGCAGCAGCAGTTCAAAGAAGCACAAGTCCAGTGGCCACAGCAGTAGCAGCTCGGGGAGCCGATCTACGAACAGCAGCAGCACGACTGCAAATGCGGAGCGCGACAGCAACTCCGGGAGACATAAAAGCAGCAATCACAGCGGCAGCAGCCACGGCAGCAGCAGCCACAGCCACAGCAACCACGGCAGCAGCAGCCACAGCAGCAGCGGGCACAAGAGCAGGAGCAAGGATGAGCACAAGCAATCGAGCAGCAAGACGAAGACGGAGGGGGAATTGCTTCGTGCTGACTCCAAGACCCACACATCTCCAAAGGACAGCAAAAGCAGCAGCCACAGCAGCAGCAGCCACAGCAGCAGCAGCAGCAGCCACAGCAGCAGCAGCAAGCAGGCAAAGAGTTCTAGCAAGGGCCACGAGGAGGGGAAGCGTGCGCGCAGCAGCCGCAGCAAAAGCCGAAGCAACGAGAAGAAACGTAAGAGGGAGAGAAGTCCTTCGTTTCAGCCTCCTCCAGTGGTGAACACTACAGACCCAACGAAGAATACCCTTGGGGATCCGTTCCCTCCAGATCTTGAGGGGCCTTGTTATGTGAAGCTGCTGCCCCAGCAGCGCGACGTGTCTATTCTATTAGGTGTAGACAATAGGGGCTTGCTGAATTTGGCTAAGTCTCACGGATGTAAGAGCCGGCTGTCTGCTAAGGATGTATTCTTCCCAGAGACAAACCGCCGCATGCTGCTTCTGCAGGGGCAGGAGGAGGGGCTGCACAAGATGCTGCGGCAAGCGTTAGAGAGAATATCAGAGCCTGGGAAGCACCGAGATAGCAGCAGCAGAAGCTCCAGCATTACCTTTATAGCACCTAATCCTGTCTGTCTGCTTACCCCAAGCAGCGCTGATCAACCCTTGCGCAAGCTACGCAAGCTAGGGGGGGCCCGCCTCCATATAAGCGATAGGAAGGACATGAAGAAACAAGGAGGCCGCGAGCGTTTGCTGACTCTTCAGGGAAACCTTAGTGAAGTTCAGGCAGCAGCATGCGAGTTGATTACTCTGCTGCAGCAGGTAAAAGATTTGCGCGATCATATGAATCTCAAGTACGACAGCTGCATGCCGAAGGTAGAGCAAGAAGAGAAGGAGGAGAGGCTAGAAGATCTCCTAGGGAAAGAAGATCTTGATGAATCAACAATGCAAGCACTTGCAAGTATCCTTATACCCCCTAAAGAAGAACCCGTAAAGGCCGGCATAGCGAGCGTCGCCCCTAATATTCCGAATCTATCGGATTCTGCTAAAGCAGCACTTATTAGTCAAGCTCAGGATGAACTAGCGAGGATAAGCAACTTGCAATATATGCGAGACACTCGAGCGGTGCTTATGCAAGGGCCAGCCTACCACAAGGTGCTTGTGAGCGACCTTGTGGCTGCACAGCTTCTGGGTTCGAACGGCAGCATAATAAGTCAATTTGAAGCAGAATATGCAGTACAAGTTAAGGTAGCTCCCCCGGAACCTCCTCCTTGCACGGAGCGTATTGTTGTAATAAGCGGAGAACCTCAAGACACCGATAGAGCTCTGTTAGCAGTGCTTGAAAAGGTATATGCTGCTTGTCTTATGGTTGGGCACGCAAACTTTATGGTCTGGCGTATGAGTGCAATGAGTACTTGCTGCGCTCTTATCTGCGGGCCTGGAGGACAGCGTATTCGTCAATTAGCAAGCTTCACCGGGACTCGAATTCAAATAAGCAATAGAGATCAGCAAACCCCTTCACACCATCCAGGGCAGCTGGTGCCCTCTAACCCCCATGAACGAATTATATCTGTATTAGGTCCTTTGGAGCAAGTGACGATTGCTATTAAAGCGATGCTTCCGTATATTCATGCAGATCCTAATCAATCACAGTCTGTACACCAGAGCTATGGCCATGGATATAAGCTTAAGATGCCCTCTTGGGCTGAGACAGGAGTCTTGCAAGAGGGTATGAATATGGAAGCCTTAAAGGAAGAGCCTCTAGAAGACGAACGACCTGTATCTCTACCAGGGCCCTTCCACATGAAGTTGCTGATTGATCCTGCACTTGCGAATTCTTTGATTGGAGAGAACAGTCAAACTATTACAAAAGTTGCAGAAGAATGCGGCTGCAGCATGCATGTCTTGTCCTCGAAGAACAAGTTCCCGGATTCTCAAGACCGTTTGCTGCTTATGTCGGGTTCAACTGAAGCCATCAGCACAGGGGTTATCTCTCTCTTAGAGCGCTGCAAGGAGGTACACCCCAATTTACCTTACGATCAAATGTATGCTAAACTCGTAGTGCCTACAAGCGTATGTCCTACAGTCATAGGGCCTGGGGGTGTTCGAGTAAGAGAGATCCGCGAAGCAACTCTTACTCGAATAACTGTTGATAGAAACTCGAGCCCTTGTCCTGAAAGAGTTATTGCAATCCACGGTATGGCTCAGGGCGTCCATCAGGCGGTCGTTGCTATCAGCACCATTGCACAGACAGACCCAAGCCTTGTGCTTATGCTTGAGCTACAGTATGATTATCTAGAACAGCAGCAGGAGACGCAGCAGCAGAACGCGCAGCTCGACTCCAATATCGTCGGCGCTGTACTAGAGGGGGTTCTTTCTGTCTCTAACAAAGTGGGAGGAGGCGCCACTGATGTTGCTGTGAAAAGGCTAGAAAATATGAAACAGGTCAGGCAGACCTTCTCCCCCTTGCTTTTTCTACTTGCAATCGTCTTTCTTCTTGTTTTTCTACTTGCTCGACGCTCCTCTAACTCGCCTCTTCTCTTATTATCTCTCTTTATGGTGTACTGTCTGCTGCTTTGGCTCGTGTATCTATCCGGCTCTGTGTCTCCCTCTTTTTGCTTGTCTATATATATATATATATATATGTCTCTTTCTGTCTCTGTGTGCGGCGTCTTTCTTCCTGTCGCGTTTGTGTTAGTGTTGGTCTTGTTGTGTTTGTTTGTTTGCAAGAGTTAATTGTTTGTCTTTGTTGTTTTGTTTGATTCCGTTGGAGTGTCCCCTCCCCTGTGCTGCTGTCTCCTCAAGCCATCGTAGTAGCTCAGGCTGTCTGTTGCTGCATCGCTGCATCTTCTTCTCGTTCCTTTGCTGTTGTTATTATATGTTTGTTTTACCTTTAATCTGTGTGTAGATGAATTTCGTGTTTGAGGGTTTATTGTTTGAAGCATCAGGCTGAGGGTTTGGGGTTTAGAGCATACTGCACAGGGTTTAAGGCTTAGGGTTTAGGGTTTAGGGTTTAGGGTTTAGGGTTTTTAGTGCTGTGCGAGTTGCTGCTGCGCAGGCGGCGGCGCAGGGACCGCTGGGCCCGATGGGGCAGCACCAGAGCGGATATACCCCCAACTATGACGCTCCTGTCTCGTTTGTTACTGCATCTAACCCTACAGTTACACCTGAAGCTTCGAAGAGCTTTGCTTTAGCTCAGAGAGCAGCACAGGCCCTTGGAAATGATCCTCGCGTGCGGCTGCCTTCTCCTCCTCGCGCTGCGGATGAGTGGGAGCAGCAGCAGCGAGAGATTCAACAGTATGAACAGCAGAGGCTCGCTGGCCACGTCGAAATCTACAGCAGCAGCGGCTCTGCGCCTCCGCCTCCCCCCAGACCCTCGGGCACAATGCCGCATGCAGACCCCGCTGCTGCTGCTGCTGCTTCGGGCGCACCTCCTCCTCCTCCTCCTCCTCCTGATAACGGCATGGATGCGGACGACGGAGACCCGCTGCTCGAGGGGCTGATGAATGAAGCTTTCTAAGCCTTTCTATTGCATAATTAATATACTTGTTATCGAAAGATTATCGTTGCAGGTTGAGAACAGAGGGCTGAGTTTGGCACTGTTAGTATTTGGGGGGTGCAGAGACTCAGGGGCAACACGGTGCACGGCCGCGGGCCTATGAAATGCTGCGGGTGTACCTGCTGTTATGGCGCAGAGAAAGTGCATGCATTGCATGCATTGCTCATATTGCATGCATTGCATGTTCTGCATGCATTACATGCATGCGCCATTTGCCGTCATAGTCGCCCTGCCACTATCAATAATATTATTTCCTTGTAGCAGTAACCACTCTAATCGAGAAGGGCAGAAGGAACAACTGGTGCCTGCAGGAGCCGCCTGCACAGTTTAATTCAACATCTTTTCGGTAGGCATATAGACAGTACGTACACTGCAACCATTGGCACAGATGATCCACCAAACTGCCGTTTCTGTCAAATTTCCAACTCGGCTTTTGTGGTGTGCACACAGTGCATGCACAAACAAATATTTGGTGATCCATTCTATATAATATTTGAAATATGTATGTCAGAACAAACTACCATGTTAGCAGGTAGATACATCCGTGCATGCGCATACTTTCCCACGCGCAGACGCTGTAAGGAGCCGTCATCATCATTCATACATCTCATTTCCTTTGGAAGCCAGGCTGACAATAGTTAGTATCATACAACAGTACCAAAGAGGCAGAGCGCTGTTTCTGCTCGGTGTTCTGTCCGCCGCGGCAACACCAACCACGCGCTCTTTTTTGCGGCACTTCAGAGGTGTTTTCGCATAACTCTAGCTGAATTGTCTGCATATAATTTGTTTAGTCACACTCTGTGAGAGGGGAGACTAAGTTTTGCAAGGAAAACAGCGAAATATGCCTATCAGCGACAGCAGCAATGCGAACTATGGACAAAGACAATAAATTAAACCACTCATTTATTAATCAGATTTATTTCTTTATACATCTTTTTATACATCTTGGAGAAGGTGTTTATTATTATTATTATGTGTATGGATGGTTACCTGCTCACTAATAGAGTTCGATGTTGTGGTGTATGTGCAGTATGCCTGGTTGCTAAGGTGGTGTTGCTTCCCGGGGTTTTTTCAGTTTACAAGTCCTTCACTAAACCTTTTAAGTTTTCGTCTGAATTTAACAATATTTGCATTGATTATTCCTTTTTGCTGAAAAATGTTTGCTTTCTTCTGGGGCTCTCCCGCTATGGCCGCAGCCCAGCCCCAATTTTCTTCAACGGCGTTTCGGAACAGACTTGCAGAAATCAAGCGTAAAGATGCGTTGGGTCTTGATTTGAGGTTTTCTCCATTGTTATTTCTTTAGTGGGAACTTTTCTCTCTTATTCATCTTTTCCCTCCTTGTTCACTTCTTTTTTATTAAACGGCACCTATCCGCCGCAGGTGCTCCTCTTCAACAACGATATGCAGCTGCGGCTTTAGCTGCGGCCTGTTCATCTGTTGTAGGAGTTGAACTTAAGGAGATGAATTCAGCGAATCATCTCCAGTAAAGACAACGAAAATGGACGCGTCGCGGGGCCAGCTGCCTGCGGGCCTGGGGGGTAAGTGTCCGTACAGCGTTTTGGGTTTGTGCGCGTCAGCGGAAGGAAAGCCTTTGACTGTACAGGAAGCAGCAGCAGATGAAGCTTCTGTTGCCGCTCGTGAGGCCCTGAGCTCCAAGGCCATTGGCACTGCCTACAGACGGGCTGCGCTGAAGGCGCACCCGGATAAGAACAAGGGTAAAGAAACAGAAGCTGCTGCTGCTTTCTTAGTAGTCAATTTGGCGTTTGCGTTTCTCTCAAGTGCGGAGCAGCGCGAGGCCTACCACCAGCACCTCCGAACACTGCTGGGGCTGCGGCAGCAGCGCGAGCAGCAGCGGCTGCGCTGGACCGAGAGAGACAAGCAGAAGCAGCAATTCAAAGCAGAGTTAGAGAGAAAAGAATCAGCAGCACGTCATGATACACCCCGAGTCAACCAGCAAGAAGAAGAGCTGCAGCGAATTAGGGAGCAGAATGCTGCCTTTATCAAGCGCCACACCGAACAGAGACAGAAACAAATACAAGAAACATTCCGAGAACACTCGGCGCAGCTGTTGCAACAACACCAAATGCAAAGAAGCACTTCTTTTTCGCATGCAATGCCTGCAACGCATGCAACGCATGCAGGCAGTAGCGCAGAGACAGGGGCGGAGGAGACACTCGAGGATATCTTGTTCAGGTCTGTTGTGCTGCAGTGGAGCGTTCCAAAAGAGCAAACAGCAGCAGAAGCAGCAGCAGCAAGCGCATGCAATCGGCAGCACGAACAACCCGGTGCACCGGCAGTTGCTAAGGACGCAGCAGCAGATATAAAATCAGATACAGCAGCTGGAGCAGGAACAGCAGAAACAGCAGCAGGAGCAGGAACAGCAAAGGCAGCAGCAGCAGCAGGAACAGCAGAGGCAGCAGCAGAAGGAGGAGAGGCAGGAGACGCAGAGGCTGCGGCAACACCAGCAACAGCAGCAGCAGGAGAAGCAGCAGCAGATGCCCCTACTCCTGCTTCCTTATGCGCGCTGCTGTGGGCCCATGGGGCTGTTGACTTGTGCCTCTTCTCTAGAAGCAGAGGCCTCGCTTGTGTCTCCTTCTCGTCGCGGGAGAGGGCGATTGAGGCGGCGCTGCTGCTGCAGAGACAGCGCAAGAAGGAAGCAAACAGCCAAGCGGAGAGACTCACTGTGAAGCTGGCTAACAAAGCCAAGGGGTTTGATCTGCTGCTCCAGAAGGTGCGAAGTGCTGCTGCTGCATCAGACCAGCAGCAACAGCAGCAGCAGCAGCAGCAGCAACACGACGAGGCGGACGACCTGCGGGAGGCTGCAGAGTTGGCCGCTGAGACAGAAGAAGCAGCTGGTGCGTTCGCTTCGGCATTAGCAGCTGCTCAATCTGCTGCTGCTCCTCCTGCTGCTGCTGCTGCTCCACCAGGCGAACACCCTTCGGCTGCTCCCACAGCGGAGCAGCCGACCCTCAATGGCAGCACCTTCAGTCAGCCTAATCCCAGCAGCAGCAGCAGCAGCAGCAGGGGGTCGATGACTCTCGGGGAGGCGACCAGTGCTGCAGCTGCCTTTGGGTTGGGTGCTGCAGCAGCATCTGCGCAGCCGATTAGCGGCGCTGCTGCTTCTATTCTAGAGTACGTGAGGAGCTGCAGCAGCAGGGGAATGGAGGAGGTGCAGCAGCAGCATGCAGAAGCAGAGAACGACAGAGGCTGGGAGTGGGTAGGGGGCTCCAAAGTCGCCGCCAGCATGAGCATGCAGCAGCTTGAGGCTGCTGCATTCGGAGAGCTGCACCGCAAGAAACAGCAGCAGCAACAACAGTAACAGCAGCAGCAGCAGCATTAGTAACAGCAGCAGCAGCAGCATTAGTAACAGCAGCAGCAGCAGCAATAACAACAACAGCAGTAACAGCAGCAGCAGCAACAGTAGCAGCAGCAGTAGCCGCAGCAGCAACAGGCAGTGCTTATAATAGTCTTTGACTGATCTTCTCAGGTCTCGCCAGTGCGGCGGCTGTGCATGCAGACTGCTGCTGCATTATGCTGGGAAGGCAAAACAATGTAGACTTAAAATAGAAGGTATGCAGCTAATATTTCTTTAGCTTGTCGATGCAGCTGCGGCCTTTGAGGTGTACGTACACCTCAAAAGGCCGCAGCTGCATCGACAGGCTAAAGAAATATTAAGCCGTTTGAATTTTTTTTTGTACAACAGAATTGGGGTTGATGGTTTAGAGGGAATAAGGGAGAAAACATGCAGCAAACGTAGCAATGTGAAAAACAAACAAACAAACAAACAAACAAACAAACAAACAAACAAACAAACGAGCGAATACTAGTACAGGAGGAGGTGCAGCAGAAGATAGGAGACACGAAGAAACACACGAATTCAATAGAACATATATACATATATATATATTTATTTATTTATGTATTTACATATATATATATATATATATTTATATGTAGGGCAAAGAGGAGGCAGCTAGAACTAAACACAAAAGAGCAGCACAGACAGCCGACAGTGGAGAGCGCCTGCTGCGGCAATCTGCAAATTCTTGAGGAGACAGCAGCGGAAGGAAAGCAAAAGAAATTTGAGTGCAGGGAGACAGTTTATTAATTGGAGTTATGCAGCACGTGCTTGCTTTGTTTCTTGCGGTGTATTGACAGTTATTGAGCGTCTACTGCTGCCTTAAGTTGGTCGTTGTTTTCTTCGTCTTATCTCTTCTTTGCTTCTGCTGCTCTTCACCAGCAGCAGAAAAATAATAAGATAGGGAGTCTGGCAGCCGCAGAAATAAAAGGATAAATAATAATTAATAAATAAACAGAAATAAAAGAAGACATAATAAAAGGAGAGACGAACGTCCCTGCGCAGTTTAATATAAAATTAAAATATGTAATTTAATACAATTTAAAAAAATAATAATTCAGTGGAAATTGAAGCCCTCCTACAAAGATGTCTTGCTGCACTATGCAGCATATATATATATATATATATTTACATATATGTATATGCGAAGTTTAATATCTTCACAATATTAAATAGTAATAGAATATGCTGCTTTGTTATGTACGTTGTTGAAGACGCTCTCATATATATATATATATATATATATATGTTATACTGTAACAATGGGAATATTGTACTGCATTATATTGTAGTAATAACATAATAATAAAATAAAATATATTATTATGTATTATATTGTAATAATATCATCTCAATATATCATTATATATTATGTTGCATTATAATGTATTATATTTTATTACATTATATTATATAACATTATGCTATACTGATATTGTATTATATTTATCTTATACTCTATTACATTATATTATATTATATTGTAGTGCATTATACTATTTTACCTTATTTTATTTTAAATGATTTTATACTAATTCTTATTATTGTATATTAACGAGAATGCTATAATACAATATTTTTTTCTGCAGCTAGTGTATGTAAGGTTCCCCCGTTGGCGTGGCAGGCGTGCGCGACGGTGTTGCGGGGTACTTATCAGATTAAATCATTAATATAATTAAAAAGGAAGAAAATAAGGAGAAATAATTGATTAATTTAAAAAGAATAGCCCTGCAAAGGTCTCAGTTGAGGTGTAAAGGGTTTACCAGCCTAAGGTGGAGCCAACGGGCAGCCAGTGGGCAGCACGAGCAGAGAGACGAAGCGTCGAAAATAGCAAGAAAGGGTATCTTTCTGTGCGTAAATAGCAGCTCAGTATACATTTAATGAAATTAAATCTTCTAATAAATTAAATAAATAAATATTTCAGATTTTAACAGCAGTTTATAACCTCCTCTTCTTGCCCGGGGCTGACGACGGCACGGTGTGGTCTGCATTTGCGGTGTCTGTACACCTGCAAGAAGAGCACATGCAAAAGCTGCTGCATGTGGTTGTCTTTTAACGCCGTTTTTCTTTCTTTAATTGATTAAATTGATTATATTTCATTTATATTAACACATATTGCAGTACAGATCCTCCTGGCGGTATATACCCCTTGAGCTGCTGGCGGGCGGTCGCAATAGTAGCCGTGCATAATGTAATATTCTGTTAGAGATAGGAAAACAGAGTGAATGAATATGATTTGTTTGCAATCTTCTCGATATTTGCAGAGTAATTCTGCATTTTCTTTCCTTCCCCTTTCTGCCTCTCGTGCCTCCCTACCTTTTAAATGGCGTAGAGGCCACCCTAGTGGGTTGCTGCAAGAGTTGCGGTGTATAGGCAGCTCGTGTTCCTTCTCCAGCACTACCCCTCGCCCTCGCAGCAAAACCTTTGATGAATATCGCAAGGCATCAGGCCTCAAGACGCAAGAAGATTACATGCGTTTAGACAGAAACAACTGCTCGCCTAACTACCAGCCTACACCTGTTGTTATTACCAAGGGAGAAGGAATATATGTGTGGGATACAGACGGCAATAAATACTTCGACTTCGTCGCAGGGATTTCAGTGAGACAATTAAACCAAACAAACACACAGCAGCAATAACAGCGGCAGCAGCAGCAGCAGCAACAGCAGCAGCAGATTGATATCTGTACGTAGCAGAGACTTCTCGGTTTGGTGTATTCATTAGAGATATGAATTAAACAAATATAAATATCTTCTTCTCCTTGCGGTGTATGCACACCATCAAACTTTTCTGGATGCCAATTGCCCACAAGTTTGTTTACTCCGCGTGTCTCTGTTCCCTTACCTCATATTATATAATATATATATATATTATATATATATAATATATATATATATTATATGAATGCACACACGTATATATATATATATATATATATATATATATATATACGTGTGCATGCATATAGGTATATATACGCGCATTCACATGCATATTTATATTCATGCATACACACACACAAACAGACACAAACACACATATATATATATATATATATATACATATATATATATATATGTATGTGTATATGTATAATGCACGCGTTCTACTAGAAAGACTAGAGTAAAGAAGTTAGAAAGACAGGTGGATGTATGATTTGCTGCAGAGTTTGAACCAAGGGCACTGCCACCCACGAATAATTGCTGCATTAAAACAACAAGCAGAGAAGTTAACGTTAACATCTCGAACTCTTTATAATGACTGCATGCCTCTCTTCTGCAAATTTTTAAATGAAGTCTTTGGATATCAACGCACTCTACTCATGAATACAGGTAATCTCCTTCTCCTGCTGCTCCTGCTGCTTCTGCTGCTGTTTTTGCTGTTGTTGTTGCTGCTATTGCTGCTGTTGCTGCTGTTGCTGCTGTTGCTACTGTTGCTGCTGTTGGCGGTGGTGTTACTGGTGGCTGTGGTGGTGGTGCTGCTGCTGCTGTTGCTGTGCTGCTGCTGTTGCTGTTTTTGTTGCTGTTGGTGCTGCTGTTGCTGCTGTTGCTGCTGTTGCCGTTGGTGCTGCTGTTGCTGTTGGTGCTGCTGTTGCTGTTGCTGCTGACGCTAATAATGACGATATTAATAATAACAATAATAATAATAATCAAAACTAATAATAATAATAAAATAATAACAATAATAAATACTAATAGTAAGAACAACAATACAAATAATAATAGGAATAGCAGAAATAGATAGAAACAAAGAGCAATAACAGCAGGAGCAGCACTACGAATACTAAAAGTAAGCATATGAATATAAAGATAAAGAAGATATGAATAAAATATATTTGTATATTTATATTTGCAGGTGCTGAGGCCGGAGAGACTGCAGTTAAATTAGCACGAAAGTGGGCCTACGAAGTCAAAGGGATAAAAAATAATACAGCTCGCGTTATCTTCTGCAATAATAACTACTGGGGGCGAACTATTGCTGCATGCAGCTCTTCAACAACTTATGAAAATTATAGACAGTAAGCACAATATATACATACATGATATATATATATATATATATGTATCTGTATATATACATATATATGTATATATATATATATGTATATATACGTATATATATGTGCATATATATATATATATATGTATATCTGTATATATACATATATATATATATACATACGTATATATATATATATACATACGTATATATATATATATACATGTATATCTATATATACATATATATATATATATATATATATCTATATATACGTTTATATATATCTACATACATATATATATATATATATGCGCTCTGTATTTACCAAGGTATATTATTAGTTCAATATATAGAAATGTTAATATTATACTTTTATAATGTAAATATAAATAAGTATTTGTTTGTTTTTTATATTTTCTTTTTCTTTTATCTTTCGCTGCATTTCTTTGATATTTTACTTTAAGTCTTTTCTTCTACATGTTTGTGTATTATAAATAAAAAAGTATAATTATTACTAGAATATACATTATTATTAGTAATAATAATAAAAATTATAATAATACATATTATTATTATTATTATTATTATTATTATTATTATTATATTTGATTGAATAATATAAGAAGAATAAGACTGAATTATGATAATGATAGAAAAATGCATATTATTGTTTGTGCTGCAGCTTTGGGCCTTATACACCTGGTTTTGAGTTGATACCGTTTGGCGATATAAATGCATTAGAAGCTGCATTAAAGGACGGAGATACAGCTGCATTCTTTGTTGAGCCGATTCAAGGTGAAGGAGGTATAATAATACCTAATAGAGGGTTTTTAAGAGCAGCAGCAGAGTTATGCCGAGCTCAAAATGTTTTATTTATAGTCGATGAAATTCAAACGGGTCTAGGTAGATGCGGGAAACTATTAGCTAGCGATATTGAAGGTATAAGACCTGATATTATATTACTAGGCAAAAGTCTTACAGGGGGCGTTATACCTTGCAGTGCAGTTCTTGCGGATGAATATATTATGAAAGTATTTACACCGTCTACACATGGATCTACATTTGGAGGTAATCCTTTAGCATGTGCTGTTGGTTATGAAGCAGTATCAGTATTACTAGAAGAGAATCTGATACAAAATGCAAATATACAGGGTGAGCTATTACGGAAAGAGTTGCATAATATCAAAGATAAATATAATCTTTCTTTTATTAAAGATATTCGAGGTAAAGGCCTCTTTAATGCTGTTGAAATCAATGGGACCAGCGGTGAATGCATGCATTTATGCAGACAGTTAAAAGATAGCGGGATTCTTTGTAGGCCTACAAGAGGTAATATCATTCGTCTTCTCCCGCCTTTAATTATTAATAAACAACAAATGCTAGAAGCTATTGAACGTATTGAAGATGTATTCAGAAGAAAAACCTCGTAAACTTTACCTATATTATTCTCACTTCATACACCTCATTCAATATATTGATCATTATTCATGCGATTACAAACAACTAAATTATAAATATAATTTTATTTAACAACTCAATCAATACATTCATTACTATTAATATTACTACAAACAACATAATATATATACAGAAATAATGTTCTATATGATAATAACACAGAACAACATAATAAAAACAATAATATAAAACAAAGTAATGAAGGCAATTATAAACAACAGAATAATCAATAAATAAAATAAAATAATAAATACAATAACGTAAAACAAAATAATAAATACACAAACAAATACACAAAATAATAAACAATAACAACACGAAGTAATACACAAAATATATAATATATAATATTATTATAATAATATAATAACAAATACACAAAAAACAAAATAATAAATGCACAAAGAAATACACAAGAAAGTAATACACTAATGAACTGATAAAGAAATACGCAAAGAAATACACAGGCACAAGTATAAGTATATATATATATACACACATATATATATATATATATATATATATACATATATATATATATATATTTATTTATGTATTTGCGTGTACCTGTAAATATGTTAGGAGGAACAAAGTAGGTGAATTTGGCAGTGATAAATAAATACATACATAGGCAAGTATATATATATATGTATATATAAATATATGTATATAAATGTATATATATATATACATTTATATATATATGTATATATATATATATATATATATAGACATATCTATACATACATATCCATATATATTATGTACATATATATGTATATACATATATATACATATAATATATATATATATATATTTATATACCTATGTAGATCTATATATATATATATATATGTATGTATGTATGTATGTATATACACATGCCTGCATGCATCGATGAAGCGCACCAAAGGAACGCATGCACGCATGCAAAGCCGTGCATACATCGTCAAATATATATTTTTATTTATATAAAAATATATTAATACACCCGAAGTACACCTTATGCATGCGCTGTCAATGACATGCACAGAATTCAGCCCAGGCTCATTATTGTGGTGTATACCTGCAGCAGCAGCTGCAGCAGCAAATGCAGCAACAGTAACAAAGGCAGCAGCTGCAGCAGCAACTGCAGCAGCAGCAACAAATCCAGCAGCAGCAATTCCAGCAGCATCAGCAAATGCAGCAGCAGCAGCAAATGCAGCAGCAAATGCAGCAACAAATACAGCAGCAGCACCAACTGCAGCAGCAGCAGCAGCTGCAGCAGCTGCAGAAGCAACTGCGGCAGCTGCAGCAGCTGCCGCAGCAGCAGCAGCAGCTGCTGCTTGTGCAGTTTCTGCAGCAGCAGTAGCTGCAGCCCTGCGAGCGGCACAGCGTAAACCCTAAACCCTAAACCCTAAACCCTGACTGGTGAGCCCTAAACCCTTTGCATGCATGCATTTTTCTTTTGCTTTTTGTCTGCTGGTTTCTACCAGTAGTGCCGCTTCTGTTATTTCTTTAACTTTGCTGCCTCTTCTTTTTCTTTGCATGCATAAAAAAACATCATAACAATTAAAGCAAAGCGAAGCAAAGACAGCAGCCCACACGGTGCCTTCATAGCAGCAAGTTGCTGCATGCATTTTCGTGTTAATGTTTATCTTCTAACAAACAACAAAATAAATAAAAAACAAATTAAACTTTAAACACCCCAATGAAACAAAAAATGTATGCCCAAAGGAAAGTATGTCTATCTATACTTATATCTGTATATATATACATATATATATATATATTTATTTATATTTATATATCGATATACATATTTACACACTTATCTATAAGCACACACACACACACACACACGTATACATATGCAATATATGTAATATATATATCTACGCGCATGAATATATATATATATATATATATATGTGAATATAGATTCATATAGCCATATATATATAATATAATATATATATATACATTATAACGTAAGAAATCGAATATCGCTGTTCGTCATTTTGCTGAGTTCTTTCAAATATTATTGTAGAAAATGCAGAGGAAGTATGAATGAAGAATACTAACAAACAGCAGAAAGATAGTAATAGTGCAGCAATAAAGGCAACAATATAATCGTGTTTGATGATGATGGTAATAATAATAATAATATATTAATAGTCAAATTTCGTTAATAATAGAATAATAATTTGTATCGTTATCATGCGCCTAGTCTAGTAACAGCGCGGCATCTGAATAATAGAAGGCCGACAACAGAAACTAGCAGTAAATACTTATAAAACAGACAAACAAACGAAAATAAAGTTAAAATATAATAAATAAATACCTGAAACAGGACAAAATATATAAACTAAGATGAATATGCAACGAAGTTATGAAACGAAAACTCAGGGGAGGTGTACATACACCCCAGCTAGAGCTGCGCGGTGCTCCGATTGCAGTGAAACTTGCATTAAATTTTCTATTTTCTTCCAAATTAAATATTAAATAATCTATTTTTATGTATTTAATAAAAAAATTTAAGTTTCATCAAGCAACACCAAGCATACTACGTGGGGTTTCAGCGGCCGCCATCGCGCAGAGGCAGCAGCAGAACAGCAGATTTTGTTTCTTATTTGGATTGCATTTTGAATAACAGCAGATAAATAATTAAAAATAAAAATAAATTACTATTCAACAATAATGTATTTGTTTTTTCTCTAAATTTTCTTTTCGATGAGTTCCTGTGAAGTTGCTACTGCAGACAGCCAGCCCCGCGAGCACATATGCATGCAAACTGCATGCATCAAAGAGGCGAATAAATTCAAAAGATTGAAGCGGGAAGAAGGCGTTAAGCCTATGTATCTTTCTTCTTTTCCTTTGCAAACAGCAGAGGGTTTAATTGTATTGGAGGGTTTTCATATATCGCCTGTTCTCTGCTCAACCTCCTGCTGCTGTTCCTCTTGTTGTTGCAGCAGCAGCAGCAGCAGCAGCAGGAGCAGAAGGGAGCATTCTTAGGATTTCAGCATATATATATTTATATATATATGGTGTTGTTTCTTCTGCTAGTGTTTAACAGCAACACTTTAGGAGTCTAGAGGTTTGTTCTTTTCTTCTCGCCTGTGTTTTCTGCTTCTTTTTTATCTGAACGATGGATCTCGACAACTACGATGAATTTGGCAATTATATCGGGCCCGAGTTGGAGGGCTCTGATGAGTCTGAGGATGAGGAGGCGGAGATGGGTGCAGCAGCAGCAGCAGCAGCAGCAGCAGCAGGAGCAGCAGCAGGAGCAGGAGCAGGCGGGGGTGGATCAGTCGTTGGGGGTGAAGGCGACTTAGTGCGTAGAGGTCTTGTACAGATGGAAGAAGACGAGCAGCAGCAGCAGCAGCAGCAGAAGCCTGTGCCTCACGAATTGAAGCAATATTATCCTACAGCAGCTGAGGTGTATCCTGAGGCTGAGACAATTGTAGAAGAAGAAGATTATCAGCCTATTACAGAGCCTATAATAGCTCCTGTTAAACAATATACCTTTGATTTATTAGAGTCGCAGCTGCCTGAGACGACGTTTTCTTTTGATTATCTCGCCCGTTTGATGCATACACCTCACTGTGTACGAAATATATGTTTATTAGGCGGCCTACATACGGGTAAAACTTCTTTTGTTGATATGCTTATAGAAGAGACGCATCCAGACAGACTCCCTGCAGGTTTATCTTTGCTTACTCAGCATATCGAGGCGCCGCATGCAAACAAGAGACATCGTACTTTCTTTAGACGCTACACAGACACCCGAGAAGATGAACAGAAGAGAGGTCTTTCTATTAAAGCTGTGCCTGTCTCTCTTCTTCTGCAAACTTCTAAGCACTTCAGAGCAAGACAGATTAACCCTGCTATTCAAGCAACGCAGCAGCAGCAGCAGCAGCAAGATGCAGCAGCAGCAGAAAATCCAGATGCAGCAGCAGCAGCCGACGGCACAGACAAGAAAAACGATGCTGCTGATAACAGCAGCAGCACCAACAGCAGCAGCAGCAGCAGCAGCAGCAAGAGCAACAGCAGCAGCAGCAGCGAATCTGAGGGTGTTGTATATGGAGGGTCTAGGAGTTATTTATTTAATATTATCGATACACCCGGACATGTCTGCTTCTCTGATGAAGCATCTGCTGCAATGAGGCTGTGCGACGGAGCAGTTTATTTTATTGATGCTCTTGAAGGCGTCCCTGCATCTGCTGCAGCACAACTCGCGCAGGTGTTAGAAGAAGGGATTCAATTGATTGTTGTTATTAATAAATTAGACAGAATTATTCTAGAGCTGCGGCTCAGACCTCAAGACGCCTTCTATAAAATCAAATGCATGCTTGATGAGGTAAGCAAGGGCATCCTCCTGCTGCTGCTGCTGTTGCTGCTGCTGCTGATGCTGATGCTGATGCTGATGCTGATGCTGATGCTGATGCTGCTCGTGCTGCTGTTGCTGCTGCTGATGCTGCTGTTGCTGTTGCTGTTGCTGCTGTTGCTGCTGCTGCTGGTGCTGCTGTTGCTGCTGTTGCTGCTGTTCTTGAGGTCATTTGTTTTTTGCTATCATTTATTTATTTATTTATTTATTTATTTATTTATTTATTTGTGTATTTGCAGTGTATGTGCGTATGTTTTTGTTTGTTTGTAATTGAGTGCATGCTGCATTCTTTTTATGAATATATTTTAATCTTCTTTCTTTATTTAGTAATAAGTACGATTATATAATATATATATATATATATGTATATTAATCATATATGTTTAAATTTATTTATCTATACGAATTGTATATATTATAATATGTAATCATATATTTATATGCATTATATACATATGAATTATATATCTAACAATATTATATAATTGACATATATATCTATATATATAAACATATACAAATATATAAATATATAATTATATATTTATATATAATTATAGAATTAAATGTTTATTGATATATTAAGTAGCTGCTGTTTGTCCGTACAGCTGAACGAGACGCTGGAGACGCTGTGCAATGTGCGGGGCTTAGAACGCGTCGTCATATCTCCTCGCAATAGAAATTTATTATTTTCAATGAGTCAGTTCTCTTTTGTATTTTCAGTAGAGTCTTTTGCTGCTCTTTACTTTGACTCCTATGTCTTTAATCCAA